AATTCAAGCGGGACGACACCCCTCCCGCACACAATGATGTGCACCCTTCACTGCTGTCATCAGAGGCAAATGTCCAGGAAGGACTGGCCTGACCCAGAATGGTACTTGTATCATCAAATGACACGCAGGGAAAGTGCTCCCAAGTGACTGGAGCAAATGGGCCATTCTTATCATACCCAACTAAATCAGAGTTCAGGGGCCAGAGGTGAAAAAGCATTCAGGTCACATAGCACCTATTCTAGGAATTAAATTTTTCCACAAGCCCAGGTCCTGGACTGGCCTACTATAACATAGCCCTATGATGAATTTTAACTAGTAGCTGCTGAAATGAGCTGCTGGGACTCTAAGACTAGTTTTACCCACCACCATCACTCACTAACCATGGCCTGCAGGCTCCCAAAAGCTTCTCTAGTGCCAATGAGCTTTCTTTCTAAAGAACATGTAACATTTCTCTAATAAATGTTCTCCTAACCTTCTCTTTGTTCTTCCGCTATACCAAAGACCAGTCTGTGTATATGCCCCCGAACTGTAATTCTCGCTTCCCAAATAAAACATTAGAAATTTTTTTCTATATTTTTACTTTGATTTCAATACCTGGAATGCCCCCTCCTTTCCCTCAGCCCAGCCATTCTTGGGGGGTTGGAGGGGGGGACCCAGGACAGTTCTCTAATGTGCTCTGGCATTTCCTTCACTAAATGGCTACTGAGCACTCTCGTGTGCAAGAGGTGATGATGCAAGGCCAGAGGAAGGGGACGCGAGGGCTGGTAAAACAAAGCCCGCACGGTTCTCCCTCCTCTGGCTCCCACAGCACAGAGTCCTAGCTCCAAGTCACTGGCACTTGGAACACAGACTCCTCCTCGCCACAAAAATACCACAGAAGGGAATCTGAGGTACTTGCACTATAATTGAGCTTATAATTAAATTTAAGCTGCATTTTGCTGTGTGCCAGTTATGCGTAACTTTCCCCCTACCCAACCGAGCCGTACCCTTCCGGGGAGCCAAGCCCACAGTGCTTTGGAAAGGCTGAGGAGAAGTACCAGGCCTAAGCAGAACAGGTGCACGCTTCAGTTCGTATATCCAATCCCTGCTGCACTGTCGATAAGCCTTCAAAATGCTCCCAGGCATAAGTCAGAAGTTAAGAGGGTCTCCTTGCGACTCCTTCAAGAGTGTTTCTGCCTGTTGTTCTCACTGTCACAGGGCATGTCAGGACCAATAAGCAGCTGTGGCTCCAAACTGCTGCAAAAGCTACCAAAGTTGCTCTTCACCTTGACCATGGCACTAGTCCGTCCTGCCCCTCTGGACCACATCACTTCTACGATGACCCGTAGCCGTGGGCAGGCAGAGCAAGATCTGGCGGATGAGAAAGGCACAGTCCCCTCTGCTGTCCCCAACACTATCCCCACCAGCCCCCATGCTGGCACTTTGATAAAAGTCAGCTCACCGCCATGCCAGTAGGTCTCTCTGGCCTGGGCAAGCTCTGTCCCCCTTTTCTGAGAGGGAGCCCAGTGGACAAAACTAGTGAGAAAATAGGCCAAAGACTAAGGTGAAGCCTTTAATGTGAAGCCAAATATGTTTTATCACATGAGGACACTCTCTCTCTAACCTGCGACACACAGAGAAACCTTCTCTTAAATCTAAAAATTAATCCACATCTATTTTTTGATTTATTGGATTTTCTTTAAAGATGTTTAAAGCAAAAATCGCCAGTTATAATATAAATCCTAGTTTACAAGATAGAAAATTTAGTTTCCAGAAAATAAATGGAAAATAAAATTTTATGCTTAAGAGGATTTTATATTACAATTGATGAATTTTTTATAAACTACTTTATCAATACAAGTGGAAAAGAAAAAAACTGATAGGAGTAATCATTAAAGTTGATTTTCTCATTTCTGTAATAGTTTTATACATACACGCACCAATATAAATGGGAAAACGAGATTTGCTGTGCTCTCTTTAATATGGAACTACTGTACACACTTCAACTCCCACCTCTCTATGCGACTGTGCCCCTAAAGCTCCTGTGGCCACACTCCCCTGCTTCAGCCTACACGCCTGCATACCCTTGGAACCCTGCTGCAGAGCTGAACTCAAACCCTTCTCTGGCCTAAACCCCTCCTTCTGCCTCCCCACTGCACCAGGCTTTCGTACACACCTCACACGCTCAGATTCCACAAATCCTGCACTGGGAGGGCTACATGTTCAACATCTCTGCTAAATCGTGCTTCCAAGGGGCAGAGTCCATGCCTTACATGCGTCTGACACCCCAGTGCTAAGAATCAGCACCATGCACACCAGGCTCAACAATCGCCTGACGATGCCGAAAAGCTATCGCCTTTCATTCACTCAACAAATGTTGGTAGAGTGGCTTCAATGTGCTATGCAAGACACCAGCTTTCAGGGATCAATAGAAGATGAAGTATCTTGCAGGTGAGGCAGCCACATGGACAGGTTATAATGTATTGTGTAAAGTACAACAATGAAAGAGTATTCCAGGCACCAGAAAAGGAGGGAGTAATTATCAAGAGGGGGAGGATGAAGCCATGTTTTAAGTGGGCAGGCTCTATCACACACTCCCACTGGGGCCTGTGCTCACTGACCACTGTGGCGAGCAACATGCTTGCTCCATTTAATTTACTTCACTCTCTCTTTTTTGTTGTTCTTTATTGGTTTGGTTTGTTTTTGGCTGAGTGTATACAGCTAAACTGAACAAAATTAAATGCTGCATAACATATTCCTACTGCACCAATTCCATGTATTAATCTATGTACCTCTCCTCTCCTCTCTAAAGCCCTTCTGCTGGTTTTATCTAAATGTGTACTCAATCTGATGGGTCTTCCCTGGTCTGGTTGGCTTCATCCACACGCTTGTCCTCCCCTTGGAACTCCTGAAGCACTTTAGAAGACACGGGAGTCTGCTCGACAGTTCTCATACAAATGCCTGCCAACCTGGCCTGGAGCTCAGAGGTCAATACTTGTCTGGTCCCCAAATCACACGCGGCTAAAAGATATTACTTGCTAACCAGTCCCTTCTAATGTCCGGCTGGGTAGTAACTTTCTGCAGGGCAGGGAGAGGGCCCCATCTCAAAATCCTTTCACATGCTCCCCCAAGGCACAGCAGTGCTATGCACACAGCATGGGCAATTCCCTCAAAAAATGCCTCTCAAACCATCAATTTGGATGTACCTAATGCACTACACATGCATGTGCCTTAGAAGCCCTCTAGTACACGAGCTAGAAGTGGAGCCTGGTCACAGAGGATGACCAATTCTTCCCTCCTGGCTCTCCGTCCCCCTACCCCAGGTACCCAAGGTCTGCTCCCCTAGGACAAGGACCATGCCTCATTTATTCCTGGGTCCTTGGTGCCTAGCCCTGGGCTCAGAACACAGCTGGTACTCAAGAAGAAATTAACTGAAGGGAGGAGATTATCTCCAGGACCCATGCTACTTGGTGGTTTCCCTTTCAGCTGGAAGTCTCAATTCACTGCCATCTGAAAGGCAAAAGAAAACCCTCCTATGACTATCCCTGTTCAAAGACGAAGGAAACTGAAAATGTATTTTCCACAGTGAATTAGGCAACTTCCTGCCAAATTGAACTTAAAACTGCAGATTACAAAAATCAAACTCATTATCATCCTTTTCCAACCAACTCTTCCCTCAACTTCACTATTCCCATCGACACCACCACCACCGTTCTCTACCAACCCAGACACACAACCTTAGCAACAACTTTGGTCAGTCTCTTCATGGCCTATTCAAAACCAGGTACCCAAGTGCTGCCTATTACTCTTTGATCTCTCAGAAATCACCCACTCTTCCCTTCCACCCCTCACACCACCCATGCACAAGACTTCATCTGACGCCCCACCTCTTGGCACCTGGCCTGCCCCTTCGTTCACAGACCCCTCCTGCCACAATTAGGCTAGTATTTACTAAGTGCTGTTGTTTTCAATCAGTCCGCTCAAACCATTCTGAAACCATCAGACTGTGCTCTTCTGTCCTAACCTGACCTCGGTCCATATTCACTCTCACATCCCAGAAACCCTGACTAATCCTCCCTTCCTGGCTTAGACAGTCACTGTGTCTCCCCTTCCGGGAATATGGAACATTCTCTGCCTTCTCAAAATCTCAACAAAAGTTTCACTTCTACTTATCCAATTCCCATCTACCCTCCGACATTAAGTTTTCCCAAGGTCCAGTGCCACTGGCCTCCTCTTCCTCTCTCCCGACCCCTGCCTGCCCTAAAACTGTCTTTCACCCACCCACACTACCTTCCTGTTAATTCACATACTCTCTCCAGTGCTGAAAGTGGGAACAGCTGATGAGGAAGACAAGCCACTTAGCCACATGATCCTGCCCAAACCACCAGACTTTCGAATCTCACAGAACTCTTTTAAGAGCAAATGAAATTTACATGAAGGGGACTCCCTCATCTCACGTTCACAGCAAGGCGCCCCTTAGAGTGGAGGATCTAATACCTGCCAAGGGCAGATGTTTCCTATCATTCACAACCCTGCGGAGCTAGAGTCTCAGTAAATGCCAACCACATGTTAAGACAGCACTTGTCTTCACATCCTCCACTGAGCTACTCGGGAAATTCTCTGGTGCAAAATTTTAAGTGACTGCACAAATACGTGAGGGACGGGGTGAAAAGAGGGGACACAGCTGTTACTGGCAAATCCGGTGACAAGAGCGCCAGTCATAAGGGTGGGCTATGAACTCTACGCCACAGTCCGATCAGAGGGGCCCAGGGAACAAGAACTGAGGAGTAGGGATGCCAAAAAGTCGATAGGGATATAATGACAAAGGCGGCCAAAGAACGCTTTGGACCGTAAAACTGGGACCACCTTTCTTCCCAACTTTCACACCCATGGCAGCTGCGAGCAGCACGAGGGGCGTGCCCGGATTCAGGCCTCTGCGCAGGAAAAGCCCAGCTCCCCAGCCCCGGGTAGCCCCGATAACGCCGGCCCAGCCCGGCCCGCCCTCGGCCCCCGGGCCTCACCAATTGAGATCTCCTGCGCAAAGGCCAGCGAGATGAGCAGCAAGGGCAGCCCCACGGCGATGCATGTGACCATCTTGTCCACGGCCAGCTCCAGCCGCAGCCCCCTGAACTTGGGCTCGGTCGGCTCCTTCAGCAAGAAGTCGGAGAACACGTACTCGGTGGCCAGGTGGGCGATGGCCATGGCTGCTGCGCGCCGGGCTCGGCCCGGGAGGACAGGCCCAGGTGCTGCGGGCGTCGGGAGGGCAGCGCGGCGCCTTCGCCCAGTCACCAGCGGGGAGCCCGGCTTTCGCTTTCCCTTTGCCCGCGCCCCAGCTGCGCCCGCATCTCGCCTGCCTTTGGGTCTCGGCGCCTCGGGCTCCCAGCCAGCGCACCGGAGCCGCAGCAGCCCGCGCTCGGCGCCCGCCTACGAGGGGCTCGGGCTGCGCCGGGCGCACGAGCTCTCGCGCTCACGGCCTCCGCCGGCGGGGCTGGGACCCGGGCGCTGCGGTCCCGCCCCCGCGCGCACAGCCAGCGCGGGTCCCCGGGCGCGCGACACCGGGCTCTCCGGCGCGCCCGCGGGAGCCGGAACCAACCGCGGAACAAAGCGCGCCCCTCGCCCGGCCCCTCCGCGCCGCCCCAGCGGCTACAGCTGCCTCCCGGCCGGCCCGTGAGCTCTCTGCCCGCGCCGCCGCGCTCTTCCGGAACCATCCGGGGAAACCGAGTACCCGAGGCGTGGAGTTTCCGGAAGACGCGGTGACGCGGGGCGGGGTGGGCGCGGCTGCATCCCGCGCCCCTCGGGCCCGCCCCAGCGAAGGGAGCGTCCCCTGCGGGCGGCACCTCTGAAGATGGTGGCGTCCTTCCCTTCCTCCTCCTCCCCACTTCCTCGCACCTGGGATGTTTGAAATCGTTACTGCGAGCGACTCCTGCGGAGGGAATGGCCCCCTTTTGCGCCCCGCCCCCAACATTGCTACACGGTGAAATGGGGTTAAAAGGAGCTACAAAAGCTTCAAAGAACAATGGGTGCCATAAAAGGCAAATCGAGCAGTGTAGACAGAGGCCGTGTTGCGGGGGGAGCGCTGGACTTTTCCAGGGGCTGTGCGTGCGAGGGAGCGCGGGAACTGTGGCGCCGCTGAGTGTGGCTCGGTCTCAGGCTTCGGTGAGCGCTTTCCCCTGCCATCCCAGGAGGAGCCTGGATCCAGGTCCATCCCAGGAACCCTGACTAATCCTCCCACCTTGGCTAAGGCAGGCACTGTGTCTCCCGTTCCAGGAAGATATAACATCTCATTCTGCCTTATGTGTGATGGTTGGGTTGCATGTTTGTTTTTTCATAACTTATCTAGTCTTTTTAAGATCTGGATTGAATCTCAGCAGTCGTGTGAATTGCCCCCAGTCCTAGCAATTTTTTTACATTCAGTACGAAGTCGTCCTACTTTTGCTGAATTTAAAATAGAAGCAAGACATAGAACTTGTTGGGAAGTAGGAAGTAGAGCCACCTGACACTCGTGTAGGTCTGGTGAAAGGGAAGAAATCAGAGATGAGAAGGTTGGGGCCAGAGGAAGTAGTCTGGGGTTTTTTTTCAGTAGGCATTAGGGAGATTTTGGAATATAAATGGTGTTGTGCTTTGAAATGGTTAATCTGCAAGCCGTGTGTAGAATGGGTTGGAATGCAGAACGGAGGAGAGGCCAGGTAAGAAGAGGCTCTCAAAAGTTTACACATGAGAAGTAACGACACTCCAAACCGGTGCCATGGCCTTGAGGACGGCGATGAGTGGCATGGAAGGGCGTGGAAGTTGAGGGAGCCATTTTTCCCACTGCAGAAATCAAATGAAGCAATCTGGCATATGCCATCTTTCTTTGGGAAGCCATGAGAAGACAAGACCTTAAGTTCAGCTCCTGGGTTTGCCACTTACTTGCTGTATAACCAAGGATGTGTCCGTGGAAATCGCTAAGCCTCAATTCCCTCACTCTCCAAATAGGGATAATGCCTCCAACTCATTAGGTGGTTCCGAGGATCAAATGTGGTGATGTATACAACAATGCTCGCCCCATCCAGGGCACTTAGCATTTGACAGCTGCCATTACCAATCTTGGGAGTTTAACGTGTCAAATGGAAGTGTAGGTAACATTGCTTTCTTAAAAAAATAGACTTTAATTTTAATCTTTAGTGTTAGAGTTACAGAAAAATGGAGCAGGTGGTACAGAATTCCCAGGTAACCCCTATTCTGGTACCCAGGTTCCCTGCTATTAACGTCCTATGTTAGTATGGTACATTTGTTACAATAAATGAGCCAATATCAATACATTAATTAAAGTCCGTAGTTTATTAAGATTTTTTTAATATCCCCCCAATGTCCCTCTGTTCCCGCATCCCATCTAGGTAAGCAATGTTACCATATTATGTTTTGTCATTATGTCTTCTTAGCTTCTCTTGGCCATGAGAGTTTCCCAGACTTTCTATGTTTTTGATGACATTGCTTTTTTATAATGTGCATTTAGGTGTTAAATAACAAACTCTCCCTCCAAGTCCACCCTGCTCCCACCTCTTGCCCTAGTGTTATTTGTTAGAAGGAAACCAAGGTGGGTTGTGGACCACAGAACCAGTCTCCTGGAACTCGGTTTTGCTAGTTTGAGATCCTTAACATTGGCATAGGAGATCTTTTTCAACCCAAGTAGCCAGAGTCAAAATAGTCGAGCTCACTAGACTGCCTGTTCTATTGTACATTCATTCAAGAAATGTTTTCTGAACTATCATATATCTTCTATGCTAGGGACACAACAAGTGACCCAAACAGGTCAGGGTCCTTGCTTCTACGGAGCCTACATTCTAGTGAAAGAGGCGAGCAAAACTCAAGCTAAAAGTTATATAAAATGATTATGTCCTGTGATAAGTGCTACAAAGGAAAACAGAAGAGATGGCGTAGGCTAGGGATGTTCTTTAGACAGGGCAATCTTGGGAGCTCACATCCGAACTAGGAGAGTTGGGAAAGAGGATGGAGATGCTGGAGAGGGAAAGCATTTTGGGCATAGAAAGCAGCATGTGCAAAGGCCCTGAGGCAAGAAGGAACTCATGAGGCATAGAAACTGGTAAAGGCTGGAGCAAAGTTCAAGAAGTTAGAGAGGTAGGCGTGGGCCATATCAGGCTAGGCCTTAAAGACCAAGGTACAGTTTAGCTATTATCAAAGGTGAAATTGTAAGACATTAAAAGTGTATTAAGCAGAAAAGTGATGTGATGAGATTTGGAAGAACACTGAGGCAGCGTGTGGACAGCGGTTGGGAGGGACAGGAGGGGTGGTAGAGAGGCTGGCCAGGGGATTGCTGCGGTGAGCCTGCTTGAACAGGGTTTGTGTGAGTCTGTAGCCCAAGGTCACGGTTGGAGAAACACATATTGAATTTATTAGCATAAAGATGGTTTTCAGATCCATGAGGATGGGGGAAATAAACTATGGAGAAGACAGTAACAAATTACCACAACCTTGGTGGCACATATTTATTCTCTTACACTTGTGGAACTCTGAAGTCCAAAATCAGTTTCACTGTCAGCAAGGCCAAATTCCCTTCGGAGGCTCTAGAGGAGAATCCATTCCTTTGCCTTTCTCAGCTTCTAGAACTGCAATCCTTGCACTTCTTGGCTCATGGCCCCTTCTTCCATCTCCAAAGTGAGCAGCATAGCGTCTTGCTTCACTTGTCACATTGCCTTCTTCTTCTACAGTCAAATTCTCCCACTGCCTCTCTTTCCTAAGGACACATTCAGGGCCAATGTGGGTAACTCAGGATAAACTCCTTATCTTAAGATCCTTAACTTAATCATGCCTGCAAACTCCTTTGTCATAAGGTAAGATTCATAGGTTCAGGGATTAGGACATGAAATCTTTGGGGATGTTATTCACTCTCCCCCAGAATGTAAAAAGGGAGAAAAGGCCCAGTATCAAGTTCTGAGGCATGCTAACGTTGAATTAAGACAGAGGAGAAGGAGCTAGCAAAAGAGATTGGGAAGGAATAGCAATGGAGAAAGAAGGAAGGCTAGCAGGAAGTCACCTTGCAGAACCAAGGGACTAGAGGCATCCAGAAGGAAGGAGCTGTCAATTGTTGCTGAGAGGTTGAATAAGATAAAGATGGAGAAGAAGCAGCTAAAACTGGCATCATGGTTGCTAATCAGCTGATTGGGGTGTGGGAGATGGACACACTGGATTGGAAGCCATTGGAATGGGCTGAGGGACTCATGGGGTGAGTTGGTACAGGCAACAAGTGTGGAGAACTGTTTATGTTCTACTATCAAGGGAAGACAGAAATTGGGTTGGAGAGGGTTATGGAGTTAAGGAGGATGAATCTTTACTTTCTGTGTTTAATGGTGGACATTGCAGATGGTATCACAGAACGATGCAGCAGGGAAAACTGATACCTAAGGGAATGAAATCCTTGCGAAAGCAAGAAAGAATGAGGTCCAGAGTCAAGTGGAAAGACTGTCCCACTACAAGCAGGGATGCTCTTCCTCTCTAACAGGAGGGAAAGGTGTGTGTAAGTGCAGGTAAGGTTGATTTGCTCAAGAAAGTGAGGCTGAGAATTAAGGCGTGTGGTACATTTAAGGAAACCATGTTTGAGGAGTCATATTATTTGTGGAGGTATATTATTCTGATTTGTTTCCCCTGACAAGTATAACTGGCATAGTCATAGCAGCTAAATATTGAAAAGAGAATTCTCCTTTAAAACCCCACCCCCATTTAGTGATAGATAATTTTGAGTAAAAAAAAAAAAAAACAAAACCATGCACATAGCCATCTTATGTTAAACTTTATTAAAAAGAGAAATGGTACAATTAAACTACTTTGTGGTTTTGTTTTCATTAAAAAAATAAACTGAAAAGGAAAAAACTTACAACTAACCAGTTTGTTGTCTTACTAAAGGTGAGTAATAAATAAGGCGTTTAACATAATTATTATGAAATTATGTAGCCTACACGTGTATGAAAACTGTAGAGCATGTATTACAAAATCACATTGTCAGTGGTTAACAGGCTGAAATTCAAAGGATTTTGTGTATCCTGCTTGATATGACATTCAAGCAAACTGTGAACAGAACTATTAGTATTTGCATCCCCTTTTATGTAAGTCTATAGCTTCTATCAAATTTCCCGATTCCCCTCACCAAGATGAGAAAGTATGAAAGGTCCCTATACCACCAGAGTATTTATTAGGTCCTAGTCATTCACCTGGACATTCAAGTGATCCACCACTAAGGTAGATGTACTAATATCACTCATCTAACATCAGCATTGGCACCTTGCCCTGGCCAATTTCTCAGTCTAGTAACAAACAATGTTGCTTTTATCAATCTTACCCCTAATGTCTAAGCATGCATACAGAGAGTGTAGATTGCCTTGTAATGGGTTGAATTTAGTTGTTCAGTATTTTATTTTTGCATTTGAGCCTTGGAAACTGTAATACTTATTTTCAAAGCTGATTTACAAGTTTAAAAAACTGCCCCTCAAGGCTCTTTTTCTACCCTTTCCTTTTTCTCTTTTTCTCTTCCCATAAAGGCTATGTCTTTAAGAGGCATGGAATCTCAGATTTTTGAGAGATCCTTTCTCTTCCCAACCAGTCAACTGCATTGATGAATTCCTCTTGCTGTTTCTCACATAACACTGTTATTATTTCATAGAAGATGGAGACTTGGAAAGATTCTCCCAAACTGAATGAAAAATCAGACTCAAGATTCAAGCCCAGCTGGGTGCAGTGGCTGACGCCTGTAATCCTAGCACTCTGGGAGGCCAAGGTGGGAGGATAGCTTGAGGTCAGGAGATCAAGACCAGCCTGAGTGAGATCCTGTCTCTAAAACAAAATAGGAAAATCAACCAGGTGTGGTAGCATGCACCTGTAGTCCCAGACACTCCAGAAACTGAGGCAGGAGGAGCTTGAGCCCAAGAGTTAGAGGGTGCAGTGACCTAGAGTACAGTGATAACTCCACTGTAGTCTGGGCAGCAGAGTGAAACTCTGTCTCAAAAAAAAAAAAAAAGAAGAAGAAGAAAAATTAATTCAAGCCCAGACTTGCCTCCTGCAAAGTTTCCCTCCCTTAGTGAGAGCTTACACTAAAATCCCAGGGAGTCTCTGACTCACAGTGGGAGAACCTAGCCTGCTCTTTCACAAATCCCAACCCTCTCACAGTCTGAAATATAAATACAAATTCTCTAGTTGATTTTTTAAAATATAAGCATTGCCATGGAAACGTATCATAGAAATATATAACATGAAGTGAGTTGTAAACATTGATGTATTTCTGTAGGTTTGCATAAAAAGAGCAGCAAATTTTTAAAAAGCTTATAACTTTGCTGTTTATAACAATCAGTGCACAGGCTATTTATATTAAAGGGAATAAGTCCAGGAGAACTGGTTAAAGCTCCCCCCAAAATACATTTGGTCCAATTCTATCAGCAGATACTGACTTAGACATTGACATGAACTGAATGAAAAATCAGACTCAAGATTCAGGTCCAGAAACTCAGAAAGACAGTTTCCCTGTAAAAAAAAAAAAAAAAAAAAAAAACCAAAAGAAAACCAAAAAAACTACAATAAACATCTTATGGAACGGTGTTGAAAAATCAGTGCCCTTGCAGATAGATATCTGAAGCACTGTAACTCCCTCTAGAAGTTGTTCATCTAGCGACTTTGACAGTTAGCTAATGAAGCACTGTTTTATAACTATGAAAGATGGAAATATAAAGGTATCTTTCAGAGAGTCTCCCACTTAAGCAAATTCATCTCAAGAACAGACTAAGAGTTGGCACTTCTGTGTCATACCTATGCTCTTTTTTTCTGTCTTTTGTACCTGAGGATTATTCACAGTCCATTTAAAAATAAGTAAACAAAAGCAAATTGCTTTGGATGATGTTCCAGAGGATCAGAAGCCTGATCCAGGATACAGTGTCAACCTTCCTTGGTGAACGATGCCTTGGTCCTGTTTCCCTGCTGGCCGCCATCCGGCCTGCCAGCTGTGGGGCCTCGCCCCTCCCTGCCCAGCAAGACCAGATGGTTCACAGAGCATCCGTGGGGAGTGCGCAGGACTGGACTTCCTGGTAAACCATCTGCTTCCTCGCAGAGTGGAGTCTGAGGGAGAGAATCACAGTGGCGATCAGGAGGAGGAGTCCGATGATGAAAAGGATGACCAAGGCTGCCTTGGCTCCTCTTGGACCCAGACTCTTGCCAAAGAAATAGAGATTCTCCTTGCCGGGTTGTTCTGTTAAAAAAAAAAAAAAAAAAGGAAAAAAGTGAGGTGTCAGGCCCCTGCCTTTTTTGGAGAGTGAAATGGTGACCCATTCACATGCAGGGTGAGGTTATGCTTACCATCGGAGGGCACCGTGGCCGTGGCCGTGGCCGGGTGGGATGCCCCTCCTGAAGCGGACGTGGTGGAGTAGGGAACCCTGTTGTCTGCACAAAGAAGACAAGTTGGTTGTTTTTACAAACGACAGAAGGAGGTTCTTTTCATAACGTGAGTCATCTCATTTCACCAGCGAGGACTTTATCCTAGCAGTATCTGCCAGCCTGTCTTGGATTCTCACTCTGCTACTTCATAGCCATGCACGTGCTTTCCTTCCCCACCCGCCTTTCCCGCTTCTGCTCACCCATGAAGATCCATCTGGAACATCGTGTCTTCTGTGAAACCCTGGCTCATATCCCCGGACTGTTAACCATTCCCTGCTGCCACTGCTCATAAACTGTGTACACTGCACTCTGCTATGGCATCATAATCTGTTATAGTTAGATATTTACATATTTGTCTCTTTTACTGGACTCTGAGCTCCTAGGGGGCTGTATCTTGGATTTTTGTCATGCCTCCTCTTGGCAGGGTCTACTGGAAGCTTGGTGCCATCATTTGGCATCACTGACAGGCAACAGTACCTATGTTCCGGAGGACTGTGTAGGTTGTCTCCATGCCAGCATGGATGTGGTCTGACACATGACAGTGTAGCAGCCATGTCCCTGGGTGATCTGCAAACAGTTCGATGGTTTGGAATGTCATGGGGAAAAGATCGTACACATCTTCTCGGTAAGATTTATCCATCTGAAAAACAAAAGCAAAAACAAAAACCACAGCTTGTGACTTTCTTTGCTTAATACAGTAGGAAAAAAAAAGAAGAAGAAGAAGAGAAAAAAACTCCACAGTAAGCAGTGGGCAGGAAATAATAAAGAGCAGCAATCAATAAAATCAAGACTAGAAACGCAATGGAGATATGTCAAAGAAACCTTAAGCTAGTCCTTTGAACAGATTGATGAAATTGATAAACCCTGTAGTAGCCAGCTTCCATGACAACCTGGATGGTCCCACCTTCTGGTACTCATAACTTTTGTAGTCCCCTCTTACATTGTATGAGACTTAGCCTGTGTGGCCAGTAGCGTACAGCAGAAGTGATGTAATTTGTGGGATTTTTTTCTTTTTTTTCTTGGTGTTCCACTTCCCAGATTAGGTTATAAAAGACCATGGCTTCTATCTTAGACCCTCTCCCACTCTCTTCTTTTGGATCACTCCCTCTGGGGAAGCCAGCTCCCTTGCCTTACCCACATGGTGAGGAAATGAAGCCTCCATTCTACAGCCATAGGAGAGAGCCTGGAATTGGATCCTCCAGCTCCAGACACACCCTAAATGCCTACAGCCCCAGGTGACATCTGGATTGCTGCCTCATGAGAGATACTGAATCAGAACCACCTACCTAAACTACTCTCAGATTCCTGACCCAGAGGAAACGTGAGATATTAAGTGTTTGTTGTTTTAGGTCACTAAGTATTAGAGTAATTTTGTTATGCAGCAATAGATAATTAATACAAATCTCTAAACAGACTAACCAAAACAAGAAAAAAAAAAACATAAAACCTAAAAGGATAATAAAGGAATATTGGACAAACAGCTTTGTCCACAAATTCTGCAAGTTAGATAGTATGGACAAATTCCTTAAAAGACACACACTGCTAACTATCACTTAAGAAGAAATAGATAACCTGAATAGCACCATATCTATTAAAGAAACTGAAATTTTATTAAGACCTTCCAACAAATTAAAGTCCAGGTCCTGATGCCTTTATTGGCAAATTCTACCAAATATTTAAAGAAGAAATAATACCAATTCTAAACAGACTCTCCAGAAAATAGAAGAGAACACTTCCAACTCATTTTATGAAGCTAGAATTATCCTGACCAAACAAATACATTTTAAGAAAAGAAAGCTACGACCAATATTCCTCATGAACGTAGATGTAAAAATACATAATGAAATACTAGCAAATCCAATTCAGCACAGCATAAAAAGGATAATGCATCATAACCAAGTAAAGTTTATCCTGGGAATGAAAAGGTGGTTTAAAATTATAAAATTAATAAATGTAATTCAGCAATGAACTAAAGAAAATCATCAATAGACTAAAGAAGAAAATTCATATGATTATCTCAATAGACATGGAGAAAACATTTGATAAAATTTAATATCTATTCATGATCAAAACTATCAGCAAACTAAGAATGCAAGGAAATTTTCTCAACCTGGTAATGGGATCTGCAAAAAAGCTGCAGCTAATTTTATATTCAGTGTGAATATATTTACATTCAATGTGAATGACTAAATGCTTTCCCCCTAAAATTAAGAATAAGGTGAGGATATCTACTTTCACCACTCACATTCAAAACTGTACCAGAGGTCCTAGCCAGTGCAATAAGATAGGAAAAGAAAGAAAATGCTTCCTCAAACTGAAATTAGAAAAAGAAAGAAAGAAAAAGCATACAGATAGAAAATAAAAAAATAAGACCATCTCTATTCACAGACAACATAATTGTCTATGTAGAAAATCTCCCTAAAATCTATAGAAAAGCTATTGGAACTAAGTGAGTTTAGCAAAGTTGTAGGATATAGAACAATATGCAAAAATCAATTATATTTCTATATATTGATAATAAACAATTAGAAATTAAAATGAAAACATTACCATTTACACTATCACCAAAGCCCATAATATACTGAGGTATAAATTGATATATACAAGATCTATAAGCTGAAAACTACAAAATGCTGATGAAAGAAATCAAAGAAGAGCTAAATAAATAGATATACCATGTTCATGGATTGGAAGCTTCAATATTGTTAAGGTATCAATTCTCCCCAAAGCACTGTATAGATTCAATGCAATTTCAAGCAAAAGCCCAGCAGGATTCTTTAATCAAAATCAACAAGCTGTTTCTAACATCTATATGAGAAGGCAAAGATCTAGAATAGCTAAAACAAACACCACCTGATTTCAAGACTTATTGTAATACTAAAGTAATCAAAACATTGTGGCATTCAAGAAAGGACAGGCAGGGCTGGGCACAGTAGCTCATGCCTGAAATCCCAGCACTTTGGGAGGCCGAGGCAGGAAGATCAGTTGAGCCCAGGAGTTCAAGACCAGCCTGAGCAACATAAGACCCCATCTCTACAAAAAATAAAAACATTATCCAGGCATGGTGGTGCACACCTGTAGTCCTAGCTGTTAAGGAGGCTAAGGAGGGAGGATTGCTTGAGCCCAAGAGTTTGAGGTTGCAATGAGCTATGATGATATGCCACTATGCCACTGCACTTTAGCCTAGAAAACAGAGTGAGACCATCTCAGAAAAAAACAAAAAAAGCCAGACATATAGATCAATGTAAGATAGACCCATAAATATGTGATCAATACTATTTTGACAAAACTGTAAAGGCAATTCAGTGGGAAAAAAGATAGTCTTTTCAATGAGTGGCAATGGAACATTTGGACATTTATACGCCAAAAAACCAGAAATGAACCTCAATCTGTACTTCAAACCATATATGGAAATTAACTGAAAATGGATCAGAGTCCTAATTATAAAACCTAAAAGTATAAAACTTCTAAAAGGAAACAAAGAAAACAAAAGACCTTGTGTTAGGCAAAAATTTCTTATACATGATACCAAAAGCAAGATCTCTGAAAGAAAAAAAATGGAAAATTGGACTTCATCAAAAGTTAAGAACTTCTGCTCTTTGAAAGATGTTAAGAGAATGGAAAGACAATTCACAAACTGGGAGCAAATATTTGCAAATCACATAGCCGATAAAGGATTTGTATAAAGAATATATAAATCCCTCAAACTCTACAGAAAGAAAACAAACAAACCAATTTTTAAAAATGGGCATAAAATTTGGATGCTTTACCAAAGATTTATACAGATGGCAGACGGCAAACAAACACATGAAAAGATGCTCAATATCATTACCTATTAGGAGAATGCAAATAATAAAACAATGAGATAGCACTACACACTTAATAGAATGGCTAAGAAAAACTAAAATGAAATAAAAACTAAAAATACCAACTGCATATGTGTGCACATGGGACATATGGAGCTCTCATATATTTCTGTTGGAAATGCAGAATCGTATTGCCACTTTGGAAAACAATTTGTCAGTTTCTTATAAAATGAAACATACACTTACCACATGGCTTAGCAATCCAACTCCTAGGTATTTTCTCAAGGGAAATGAACACTTAGGTTCACACAAAAACATGTGCACAAATGCTTTATTGTAATAACTAACCTTGGAAAGAACTCAAATGTTCCTCAACAAGAGAATGGATGAACAATCTGCATCATTTCCATACAATGAATTGATGAGTAGAATGCTGTTTTACTCAACAATCAAATGGATGAACCACTGATACACACCAGATGGATGCAATTCAAATGCCTATGCCAAATGAAACAAGCCAGATTCAAGATGCCACAAAGTATGATTTCCAGGTGACATTTCGGAAAAGGCAAAACCATAAGGACAGAAAACAGATCCGTGGTTGCAAGGTGTTAAGCATAGGCAAGTAGATGACACTAGAGGGTGCAATGGAGAAATTTTAGGGAGTGATGGAAGTGTTCTATATTTTGATTGTTGTTGTTGGTTACAACACTGTATGTGCTTATCAAAAGAGAACTGTACACTAAATAGGGTGATTTTTTGAAGCGTAAATTATATCTTCATTTTTAAAGTTTATACAAATATAAAACTTTTATAATTTGTGTATTTAAGTCTTATAAACTTTTAATGTAATTTTTGAAATGTGTGTTGAAAAAGCCAAATGCTGAAAAGCAATACAGCCATTTAAGTGAAAACTCTAATCATCATAGGCTAATATTATACTTGGTGTTCTAAACAATGTTGAAATATACAGAGGGGAAAGAATATTAGATATTTTGTTAAAGTATTTATTACTGTTTATTCCTGTTTAACTAGAAAAGGATCGATTCTAGTTTCCGTCATCGATAGGATGTGATTATTCTTTTCTATTCTACTTCCTTGTAGATGACACTGAAACTTGAGATGACAGACTATTTGGACCTTAACCCTGGGGATTCTGATTGCACAGGTCTAGGGTGGGGTCTGGCAATCTATCTTTTTGCACAGTTCCCCAGGTGATCCTGCTGCACAGCCAGCGCCACCCACATGGTACAGCTTGATGCTAGAAAGCAGAAGGTCACACGTGGTGCAGCCCTGCTCAGCAGGGCAAAAGTCAAGATAAAGTTTGCAGGCTTAAGCCAGAGCTCAAAATATCTCCTTTACTGAGTAGGGCTATTCTATTAGCTAATCACACAGGAAAAGAAAAGAAAAGAAAAGAAAAGAAAAGAAAAGAAAAGAAAAGAAAAGAAAAGAAAAGAAAAGAAAAGAAAAAAAAGAAAAGAAAAGAAAAGAAAAAAGGGAGGGGCCGGGCGCTGTGGCTCACGCCTGTAATCCTAGCTCTTGGGAGGCCGAGGCGGGCGGATTGCTCAAGGTCAGGAGTTCAAAACCAGCCTGAGCAAGAGCGAGACCCCGTCTCTACTATAAATAGAAAGAAATCAATTGGCCAACTGATATATATATAAAAAATTAGCCGGGCATGGTGGCACATGCCTGTAGTCCCAGCTACCAGGGAGGCTGAGGCAGAAAGATCGCTCGAGCCCAGGAGTTTGAGGTTGCTGTGAGCTAGGCTGACGCCGGCACTCACTCTAGCCTGGGCAACAAAAGCGAGACTCTGTCTCAAAAAAAAAAAAAGAAAAAAAAGAAAAAAGGGAGGGAGGGGCAGAGAGGAAGGAAAGGGAAAGAAAATAAAATAGAAGGATTAGGAAAAGGGACAAATACTATGGGTACTTCTACATACGATATTAACAACATAATCCAGGGGGATCAGAATTCTGGCCATATGACTGTTGAAAAAACTCATCTGAGGCTTGGAGAATTTTCTACAAGCACAATAATATACACATATATATTAAGAAATATCTACCCAGGGTAGGGTATAATCACATTATTCTGTTCCATTCTCTAATATGAAACACCACCCCTCCCAAGCATTATTGCCAAGTGACCCTCTTCTTTTCCAGTGGAAATACTTTGAATCTGTTATGTCAAAAATTCTTCCCCAAAGCATTTTCCGTACACTCACTTTGAAAAGAAAGCTCTCCGCGTGGTAATGGATGGTGTGGATGTCCACTTCGCTTCCTAGCCCTAGCAAATACCAGTTTGTCATTGTGTCTTCATTCATTATGAGGCCATGGAGATTCCCAAAAATCTTCCCATTAATAGCTAAGAAGGTGAAAAGAAAATAGCCTTTGGTTAGTGAAAGGACACTTAATCTGGCTTTAAAAAATGGTTCAAGAAGATCTCAAGGTCACTGATATTTTCGTCTACCTGGTAAACACGTAACAATCTCGACCCCACCATTCTAGACCCAAAACTCAGATGACCCAGAAATCCTTACACAAAAAGAGCCAGAAAAAAGAAATAGCAGTTTATTTTTTAAAGCCACATCTTGGTGGCAGTGTTTGTTTATCTATTCAGCATATTCTCTTTAGGAAGTGGATCACAGGCTCACTGGTGAAGTAGCCAGATTTATAGAATTCCACAGATGAGTGAGTGGACTAAGACACAAACAATCCAGCTGATACAAATCAAAACTGATGAATTGGAAGATATTTTCTTAATATTGTACTTTCTGAGAACTAGTTTAATCCTGAACTAGTTCAGCCTAGTCAGCTAGTTATGGCTGAATCTCCAAAAAATGCAGAGCTAGAGCTTCCCAGGGGCTGAGCCCCTGATCCAGCAATGACCAATGCAAACTGAGTGCACGTGAGGGGGACTCTGGCTCCTCTCCTTCTGACTGGCTGTTTATGCTGCGCATCACGGCACAGCCAGATAAGCTGCATTCATTAAAAACAGAGATCATACTAAAAGACTGTGGTAGAGGAAAGCAAAGTTGGTAGGGGAAACAGTAACCGAATCGGGGATCAGGCTACTGTATTCTAATCTATGTTAACAGCCAGCTTCGTGACCTTGGGCAAGGCCGCTTCTTTCCTGCACTTTTGGTCAAAAGTAGGTCTTGGTGAGAGAGTGTGGATGTGTCCATCTGAACATATTACTCCTGCCCAAAGAAACCAACCTACCTTAAATTACATAGAATTAAATAACATAGAGACATTAACACAGAAATTTGCTGATGGTGTTTCACGGCCCAGAGACAAGTTAAACCAGACTCTTAAATGTGATGGAACAGAAATTATGGTGTGGCCAGTCGTGGTGGCTCAATCCTGTAATCCTAGCACTCTGGGAGGCCAAGGTGGGAGGATTACTTGAGGTCAGGAGTCTGAGACCAGCTTGAGCAAGAGCAAGAACCCATCTCTACTAAAAGCAGAAAAATTAGCTGGGCGTGGTGGCGCAGGCCAGTAATCCAGCTACTCAGGAGGCTGAGGCAGGAGGATTGCTTGAGCCCAGGAGTTTGAGGCTGCAGTGAGCTAAGCTGACATCACAGCACATTATGCTTGAGCCCAGGTGACAGAGTGAGACTCCATCTCAAAAAAGAAAAAACAATTTACGATGCATTCTTATGGAAAGATAGCAATAAGTGATGACTTATGTTTAAGAAATTACATCACAGTTTAGAGATCCCAGCACTGAGAGGTCTATCCCCTTAAAAGTTGGTTCAAAGCTTTAGGGACTTTGCAGCCAGACAACAAATGGCGAGGCAGGTTCACTCGGAAGGAAAGCTTCACCCCGGGGCCCTGGGAAGGGGGCAAGGCTCAGAGAAGGTTGCTGGGGACCTCCTACAATTACAGGAATTTTTACGAGCTTATCTCAACACTGGTTTTATTTTTAAACCCCTGATTTACCATGCATTCTGTTGCTCTCCTCAAAATCGACAGAGGGCTTAAAATTTCGTGGATCTTTATTGAGATACTTCTTAATATTGTCATCCAGGTACCAGGATTCATTCTCATTAAATACCAAAAACAATAGAGCAAATTCATAATCAATATCGCTTCTTCTTCCCTTTTCATTCAATATTCCTTCTCGACATATAATCAGAGGACCCATCAAACCACTATACATGTCCTAAAAGAAAAATAAACTGAATTAGAAAAGCCATGACATAATTTAGTGATACTCCATTCCACCTGCCAACATCCTAGTGTAGGATCTTGTTATAATACTTCACCCTAGGCTAGACATTGGTTCCTCTGTGGACTCTGGCTCCCCATGCCCCAGCCTGCCCTCCTGACCACCACCAGATTAATCTCTACTCCCATATCTAGGAGTCTTAAGGGATTTCCCATGGCCTACAGAATAAAGCACAAATCCTTTACAGGTCTGTGAGCTCTTCCATGTGCTCCCCCAGTGAATTTTTCTGGCTTAGGTTCCCCCCTGCTTTCCTTCGGGACCCTATATGACAGCCAAATGTGACTTTCAACATGTCTCAAACACACCCTCCACTTCCCTATTTTCAGCTTTGCTCATAGTGCTCTTTCTTCCTAGACTTTCCAAAGCTTCCTATAGTGCCTTGGTTAGCCCACCATTCCTATAGAATTCATCAGATTCAGAGTTGTATTAGAGCTGTAAGTGCAGACATGTATTGTTTTCCCTACAAAGTTATGTTTCTTCAAGACAAGAATATCTGTGTCCCTCACAGCAGTTGTAGGGTCATTTGCACATCGAAAGTGCTCAGCAAATATTTATTGGGATGCATAAGAAATAAACAAATAAATATGGGTTTTCCATAATTCTAATATGTAGGTTTATTTTTTCAAGGGCCTTATTATGTCTACCTCTTATACTCTAATACTGCCCAGTACAACCCAAGGACATGAATATAAGCCTTCTGATATCTAAGTGAAAAGGTAAGATAATCCCTCACATTTTTCTATAACGACCAATGCTTACATTTTATATCAGATATGACCTCAGTTCGGACTTTGGCTTATGACATATAATTAATGACTATAGTTGTTTTACATACCCATACCTGACTCAAATTCAGTATCAAATATTTGCCTTTAATTTCTAGGTTAGACTATTTATTACTCAAATAGTTTCATAGTTTCAGTTACTATCTTTGGAATATGCTTTCTTTTCCTGATACCTAGTAGCCCTGGGAATGCCTTTAAAAATAAACAGATTTCACACATCCAAAACCATGAATAAATTATATCCTAAGGTACTTTTATTTTATTGTTACCTATTTACATATGCCCTTTTGTTTTAATCTACCTTGAAAGTTCTAAATTTGGTAATTAAAACTTTGGGATTTTGTTTGTTTTTATCCCCCATACTTTAAATCAAGGGTCAGCAAACTGTTTTTTGGGTTTTTTTAATAAAGCACCAGAGGGTAATTATTTTTTTACTTTGTGAGCCATACTGTCTCTTTTGCAACTACCCAATTCAACCAAAGACAGTGTACATGAATGAGTGTAGCTGGATTTGGCCAGTGGAGCATTGCATGAGAGCCCTGCTCTAAATCATTACACCCCTTCATATATACCCCTTGAGCTGTGCTAACCTGAATAGTCAACTGACAGCCACATTCCTTTAGGCCTTTTCATCGCTCTTTCCACCTTACCTTCACAAAGTTTACTGTGGAATAATAAACCCATGGAATACAGTTGGGATCAGAGGGCCCTGGACCAGATCTTTTAGGGATATTCCACCTGTAAGTTTTTATTTCTCCTGTAATAAATGAAAAGAAATGGAAAGAATTTGGTAGAGTTATCTCTGTTCCAGATGACTTACTTGAAGAAATATAAGCAAGTCTTTATATAGTTTTGTCAATGCTTATTGCTGGAGAAAATGACCCATTCATTAGAAATGCTCTTACTAAACTCACATTTGAGTTCTATAATTTCAAAGTGAAATGGCTGATTTGTCATTTCACACTCCAGCCTTCTTTCTAGTTTGCCTTTTTCTATTGTCAACTGGTGAATATTGAGGAAATAGAGACTTACTTTTTCCTTCACTGTCCTCAAATTTCATACCTCCCTTCCAGGAGCTGTCCTTGAGCACATCTTAATCATTGAGGGTCTAGGCCTTGTCCTTTTAGGGAATCACCAGGGAGTTTTGTAAGCTTTATCTGCTCATGTCTCACCCCAGACCAATGAAATGAGAGTACATGGGTCTGGGACTCGGGGACCAGTATCTTTGAAAGCTGCTCAGGTGAGCAAGTGAGATCTAATGAGAACCAGAGAGAATCAGAGAGATCTAGTTCCAAATCTCAACCCTGTCACTTCCTATTTATCCAACATTGACTTTTAGTTTCCTTACCTGTAAAGTGGATTAGTCATCAGAGTTTTCAACTTGTTGTGAGGATTAAACGAAATAAAGAAATTAAATACGTGGGGTAGTGCTTCACATTGAAGGCAGTCAATAAGTATTAATGTTTATGTACACTACAGTTGTCCCTCCTTATCCTTGGGGAATACATTCCAAGACCCCCAGTGGATGCTTGGAATCACAGATAGTATTGAAACCTATATATACTATGTTTTCTTCTATATCTACACATCTATAATAAAGTTTAATTTATAAATTAGGCACAGTAAGAGATTAAGAAAAACTAATAATAAAATAGCAAAATTATAGCAATATACTGTAATAAAAGCGATGTGAATGTGCTCTCTCTCTCTCAAAATATCTTAATATTTTCGAACCAAGGTTGATAGCAAGTAACTGAAACCGCAGAAAGCAAAACTACAGATAAGGGGACCACTGTAATAGCAAACATGAGCTCCTATGGGCAGGCACCATATCTATGCATCCCCTGTGGCTGACCCAGAGCCTTGCAAACAGGAAGCATCAATATATCTGCATGAAATACCAAGATAACCATATTGTAAAAGTCCCAAATAAAAACCACACTTTAATCATTATCTCCTTTTGAACTGTTTGTGCCTCATCCTCCCCCCCCCCCATCAGAACAACAAACCTATGGCAGAATACGTGAGCCGCAAAGCAAAACAAAAGTAGTGCTTACATGTAACTTTGCTCCGTTTTTGCTAACACATCAGTGGGTAGCTATACAACTTCAGATCTAGTTTCCATTACGTTTCCTTAAAGCCCCTATGCCTTGTTAATCACAAAATAAGGCCGGGCACGGTGGCTCACGCCTGTAATCCTAGCACTCTGAGAGGCTGAGGTGGGCGGATCACTCAAGGTCAGGAGTTCGAAACCAGCCTGAGCAACAGCGAGACCCCGTCTCTATTAAAAATAGAAAAAAAATTACCTGGACAACTAAAAATATATAGAAAAAATTAGCCAGGCATGGTGGTGCATGCCTGCAGTCCCAGCTCCTCGGGAGGCTGAGGCAGCAGGATTGCTTGAGCCCAGGAGTTTGAGGTTGCTGTGAGCTAGGCTGATGCCACGGCACTCTAGCCTGGGCAACAGAGTGAGACTCTGTCTCAAAAAAAAAAAAAAAAAAAGCAACAAAAAAACCCCCACAAGATAAGCAGCAACTATTGAGCTTCCTAAATGCAAATGGCAGAAGAGTGGTATTGTTAAAGTTGGACCAATCATTGTTCACTGCAGCAGTAAGCACAGCAATGAACATGAAGAAGATGCTTAGTAAATATTTGCTGAGTGATTTAATTAAAAAGAAGAAGAAATTTATAAAAGAAAATTTCGAAGATGCTTGTTTGTGCTCCTTTTCTCAAGCATCAAGCATGCCTGGAAAACCTTTCTCCTGCACCTTGTTTGGGCTTTCTGCATCAAGTTCATTTCTTTCTTTCTTCTCCCTCCCCACCGCCAATCTCTGGGCTCTCCCAAACCTTTCAGCCTTGTCAGGAGCCCTTGTGAAGAATCTCTTCCTCTGAGTTCTAGTAAGAAAAATGCTTCTTTGCCACGTCCCAGTCCATCCTCCTCCCCACTCCCACGACCCTCACCTCAAGAGCTCTGGTGAGGCCAGTGAGCGCAGAGGGGCTGTGTGCCCTGAGTCCCCACCTTAAGGGCACATCAGCCCATGGGGGCTCACCCCCACCCGCCCATAGTCCTGCCAGAGCCCCGCCCCCCAATGCCTGAGTGCCACCTTCTTCCTCCTTCTGGAATTGCTTTTCAATCGTCAAAAATGAAGAACTTTATTCACTGGCTGTTTTGAACCATTGAAAACCATTTCCTTCCCCATAAAAGCAAGACACCTCTATTGTAGAAAAAACAGAAAGTACAAAAAGTGTGAAGTGGAAAAGAATATCACCCTAACTGCTATTTCAAATACCACTGCCAAGATATAACCGGTATTATTATTTTTTATTATTTCCTTTCCGGCCTTTCTTCTATGCTTATATTTTGCTTAACATGATACCATAAGTCTTTCCTATGTCATTAAAATCTTTTAAAATATCATTTAATGACTGCATAATATTCCACTGCAAGGATGTTCCAAAACTTATTTAAATATTTTCATATAGATGGATATGTAGGATATTCATGAGAGGATTCCTGAAGCAGCACAAGCTTCTGACGTGGGGCATGAGGTAGTAGGAGAGTTGAAATAGTGGCCAAGGAAGGTTTTCTTTCCTCTGACCTCACCTTTGTACAGGTACCTTGCTAACTTTTTCTAGCAATGCATTAGATTATTTTTCTTTCTTCTTTTTATGCATCTTTAAATGTTTTAAAGTTTATGTGACCTTTATTGTAATCACTATAGTATTAAATATTATAATGTTATTTCACATAAGAAGTAAAATGGAAAACAACTGCCCTGCAATTATATCTGTGGTTGCTATCAAGTTCATAACTGTGGGTCACAGCCGATCTTGACATTTAGTACAGCCACAATTCAACTGTCATATTGGAAGCCCTTCTAATTGTGAGATCTTCCTTCCTTCAATACATCTTTTTAAACCAATCTAGAGACTTCCACTTTCTGGTCCAGTCTGTAAAGAGTTTAGAAATTGCCACTCCATCCTAACAACAATATGGCTGAAACACAGTGACAGTAAGAGGAGCTCTTCAAGACCTCTCAGAGATCAGAAAAGAGTTGAATCTGATGGCTTCATCAGGATGGAGCAGATCTCTGGAGTATAACTTACCTGGCTTCGTCACGGGCACTTGGAACTGCTTTCCAATGTCCATCTCCTCCACACCCTGGGCTGAGATGGAGTAGGGCCGCCTGGCTTTGTTCTTAAATATAATCAGGACTGAGTCACCCACCTCGGCATGAATCATTGGGCCTAAAGGCAAAACACAGGCCTATGTGCATTATCGTTGCTCTTTTCAATGTTGATATAATTTACATGTTGGTAGTCTCTCAAAAAATAAAATAAAGGTCAGCTTCTTCATCAGTGTACTTTCTTTAGAGGGCAATATTGTATAGTATTAGATATCACATAGTCTTTGGCAACGGGAATAACCTGGGCTTGAATTCTACCTCCTTAACTTATTAGAGGGACCTTGGGTAAGTCATGCAGTCTGTCTCACTCTCAATTTCCCTGTCTGTAATAAGGGTTTAATAACACCTTTCACATAGGGTTAAATACCATAATGCATGTAAAATGCTATGTCAGTACACTGAAACGCAGTGAGTACTCAATAAATGCTTAACTTTTTACTACCACTGAGACCTAATCTCCAGGAGAAGCCATGTCCACATGCCGTGGTGACTTTCCGTTGTAATCCCCCTATACGTCAGCTTTGGTGAGTCTGAAACTGCTCCTGATCTAGTAAATGAATATAATAAAAATAATGAGGATCCAATGAAATAATGTGTATAAAAAGGATTTGAAAGAGTAGAAATGTTTCATACATGAAAACATTTATGTATTGATTTATAATCAATGCAGTGATTCCTCTAACACAAGTCCAATGCTGTTTCTCAATATTTGTGTACCTGAGCAGATGTGTTCCTCAGCTCCTCACGGGTGCACTTTTCTGTTGGCAGCAGCCAGGCCGTGTGCCAATGGAGATGAGCCCCCACCCCGCCCGAGAGAGCCCGTGGCAGCGCGACTGTAGCTGCCTTCCCCATGCCAGGTGCTGCTCACCTGGCAGTGCTCGGAACGCTATGGGGCATCACTTCGTGGTGAGTAGACTCCCATTTGAGAAGCACCTCAGACCCGATCCCTGTGGTTCTTTCCGGGGTATCTGGTACATTTTACATCCACAGGGAGATACTCTCACGGGCCGTGATGGGCTGGCCACACCCATGCATTCTTCACTGATTCAAGCCCTGGTTTCAATTTGCTTTTCTGAGAAAGACTGCTAAGGGCATAAATAAATCTAAAATTTGTTGGCCTGTTAGTATCTTCAGAAGAAAATATTTAGTATGAATTAGGAAGTTCTGAAAAATACTCTTTTTTTAATGACAAAGCCCAAAAAAGAAAATCCTATGCATGTTCTTAAGCACTAAATTTGGGTATAGTTACAGGTAGGTGCAGGCATACACGTATATTATGATTATAATTTGTCTCCTCACTGCCGCTTAAACTGCACACGCCTTACCGTGATGGTAGGTAAGAGCAAATGTGATAGGTCACTATCGGGGGCCAGTAATGAATGGAAGTGTGCCTGCCATGTGCCCTTTGAGTAATTTGAGGAGCCCACGCCTCTAAGCTGCACCCCTCTGGCTGAAGTGCTGCTGGGCTTGGCTCTGATGAAGTCATTCATTTGTGTCATTTTACTGAGTAGAATCAAACCAGGGCTCTTTGGGGCACAACCCAACCCCCTCGGCAGGACCAGCACCTCGTTGGCAGCAAGAAGGCCGTGTGCCAATGGAGATGAGCTCTGTCAACATACACAGCTCAAGCAAATGAATGTTTCCATCAGGGCTGACTTACTCGTTTGATGTGACAAACAAGCTCACGTGTAAATATTAATGGAGGTGTGGGAAGAGTGGATGAAGCATTCCATAATTTATGAAGCTAGGAGTTGTGGGGTCTTATTCTAATATTGGAAAGCACTGTGTAAGGCCATACTGTTTATACAAGTTACCTTGTATGTTCAAAGGCAGAACAGGATTTCAAAAAGTCCTCTAGATCAGCCCTCTGCCTTAAGGTCTTCCAAGATGTAGTCATGTCTGGTGACTCCCAGGTGAACAAAAGTGGGGAAGGGAAGCAGGAAGTACTTATCTGATCACCAGGTCTGCAGCTTGGGTTCCAGGAAGGCCACGAGTCAGGGCCTCTCAGACTTAAACCAGACCTTCCTCCCTCAGCTTCATCTCACACAAAGGCTCCTCTTTTGTCACAATTATTTGTATGGCACTGTGCATGGATAATCCAGGACCTTGAAGAAGTTATGCAAGCACTCTGCCTGTGGTTCTCAGACATCAAATTGTTTCACATGAGAATTTCCTGGCTCAGCAGAGGGGTTGGAAAGAAGCTTTAGAACATCAGACACCTGTTAGGCTGCCCTGATGATATGGACTCCTGTTTGCGTGTTATCTGGTAGCCTTATTAGGACTATTGTTTGTATGAACTGAGCACACAGCATGCTCCCTGATGATGGCAGAGCAGGACCATACTGCACTTGGACAAATGCAGTCAGTCTACTCGGTTCCTTCCATCCCTACTCAGGCACAAATCTAAGAGGACGTGTGTGTGTGTGTGTGTGTGTGTGTGTGTACATGCACATGCTAGGGACTGACAGCATGCAGCTGATAGCTGAGCCATACCCAGGAGTTCTAAGTGCTCCTCTCGAGGCGGCCGGGCTTTGATCTCCACAAATTCTCCATCGGTGTATTCCCTGTAAACCACCTTCTTGTACTGAGAGCCAATCCAATTTTCAGTGTGGTTCATAAATATATCTCCATGTCTGCAAGTCAGAAGCATCAGAAATTAAAGTTGTCAGAAGACAGAAAAACCTTCAGTGCTCCTGAATGACGGGAGGGGACTCCAGAAAAGTACTCCCACATCTGGCTGTGATCAGGGGCTCCCCTGAGAGCTGGCCTTTTGCACCAGACTCTAAGAGTGGGACCAAGAATCTGCACTTTAAAGCTCCTTGGGTTCTGCTATTGACTGCCCAGGACCGGCCTATAGCCCACCCTTGGGAACCCCTGCCTGGTGCTGAGTGGGACCAACCTTAGAGACTCCTAAGGACCCTGTGGATTGTACTTCTCTTCTTAGGAACAACTAACCTCACAGATGTGCACCTGTGCACAAGCACACACAAACACACACACACACATACACACCCTCCACCACCCTGAGTCCTTCCATATTTCCTATGTATCATTCTGTACACTGTTAAGCTTTCCCACTTTGAAAGATCACAAGAAGGCCCACAGTTGTGCATTGTGCATATACCCATATACAAATATAGGTAATATGGTTGATTCTTGTTATTTACGGTAGTCATGCTCTAGAAAGTCACCACCGTGAATACCGAGTTAAGAAATACTGAACCATTGTTCCTAGGGGAAATATAGGGCTAGTTTCTCACAAATCTTTGGTCATAGTATTTTCATGAACAGATCAATATATCACCTTGTTCTATGTGTGTCCCTGTTGAAAGACCCCTTTTTAAATATATAATGCTAAGTTATTAACATTGAACTCAGCAGCCAACTGCACTGTAACTTGTGCCTGAATGAAAGCTCTCTAACACCTATTTTCTCTGTAAAGTGCATCACAGGCCTCTTGCATTAGGCCAATGCTTCAGCACTATGCTTGGGGGGTCATTTTAAACAGTGAAAATACACACACAAAGCACACAAACGCAAAAACCGTGGCACTAAATAGACCCCAAACAGCACACTTGTTTACAGCATGAAACTAGAGCTGAAACTAGAGGCAGAGAGACTCCCTGTTTGACCTCAGCTGGAAACACGTACATCAGGCAACTTACATTTTTTGCCAGCCTATGCATAACTGAGAATGACCACAAAAGAGTCACAAGAATTGATTTGGGAGTTACAAATAAATTTTAGCAAGTAGGCAAACTTGCAAAAGCAGAGTCCACAAATAAAGAGGAGGGACTGTACACATATAGCACATTTAACCTATCACCCAGGTGGATCATCACAAAAGATAGATTAAAACAATCTATCAATTTTATCTCCAAACACAGTGAGACTCACCTTCTTCCACCTCCCTCCACTGCTCTCCCTCACCTCCAGGCCTTTATATAAGTGTTCCCTCGGCCAAGGGAACATGCTTCCTACCTCTTCAACTGGCCTGGTTGTCATGTCTCAGCTCAAAGACTACTTCCTCCCAGAAGGTTTCCCTGATCACCAACCCACTGCCCACCTTTCCCCAAGGCGGGGCTGCGTGCTTCCGCCATAAGCTATGGCTGCACTCTGCCCTTCCCCTCCCGTAGTGACTGCCTCACTCCATTTGCTTCTAAAGTTTTCCTATGGACCAGGAATTCTGTGTGGGAAAGGACCTTGTCTATTCTTCTCCATGCTGTTTCACCAGCACTTTGGACGATGCCTAGCACATAGTAGGTATTTAATAAATGCACAAATACCATCCACCCTAGACTGTATGCTAGCCAAGGGGAAGAGAACTTTTCTTCTGTTTTCACTTTCTAGGATCCCTAGAAACATGTGCAGTGGTGACCAGCACAGCCCCTGGAGCCACGCTCCGCTGTGACGCTGCTTTCCTCCTCTGCAAAATGCACCTATCTTATAGGATTAGCGCGAGGATTTTATGAGTTAATATCTGTAAAGCCCTATGTCGGGCACATATTAAGCACTAGGTAAGCACTTGCGCTATCATTATCTTGTGAGGATGGTGCACGAGGTGCTGAGCAAAAGCTGATTGAATGGGTCAGGTATGTCGTGAGGATTATGTCAGAAAAGGTTTGCAAATACCCTAGCAAAATGCCTGGTGCAGAGTGGGTGCTCAATAGGTGGTGGTAACTGTGGATGGTTAAATTACCCACGTATCCGTCCACAAGCTCAGGAGCACTAGGAATACAATCTTACTTTTCTATCTCAACTTAATTTCTGTTTTCCAATTCCCACTCACTGCACAAACTCCCCCTGGAATTGTGTTGATAGTTATATTTGTTGCCTTTCTAGGATCCTGAGGCCTTCTAGCATGTTCTTAGGAAAGACTTCCAGGTCCCAAGGTGGAACAGAGGGTCTGTGCTAACAACAAATGTGTCAGGGATAACCTGTACCAAGAGGTGGTCCAAAAACCAGATGTGCCCCACCGTGGCCTTGGGGCAAAGGTCATAGGCATAGAAATTGCAGTGGGGGGGAGAAGGGGCATTTGTCCCTGGGCTCCAATTTACAGAGGTGCTACAGACGTGCCCTGGGAGCATTTGTCATTTCAGTTCTATATTGAGTCTTTGTCTATAGCATCTGGTGAACTGTGAGCATGTCCTTATCTCACTTTGCTTTTATCTATTTATGGGCAATAACCAGAGTGACATAAGAAGAGTGTGACTATGGCATTCTACTCCCCTTCCCTACCGGCACCTTCTCTCTCTCTATGTCACTTGAGAGAGTTCCAGAAGACTGAGGCTTTACCTCCCTGCTAGCCCAGAGGGATGGAGGCTTAAAAGCAGGAGTTAAAATAAGTTGTAAGAAAATAATGAAGGCCATATTTTTTTAAACACCCATGGGCCAAAACTGTATGCACGACAAAATTATTATATAATTATTTCTTTGGCTATGGCAGACTTTTAATGAAATAATCATTTTAGAAAAGGCCAAATTAGAATTCATTTCATGTTCCACTGCACCAGCATCAGTCTTTAGCAGGCAGCAGTAGTTTTGCAGAAGAGAGGTGTCTGGTTTAGCAAATAGGTTAGTGAATAATTGAATGGATTTTAAATCCTCCTGTCCTTGAAGCAAAAAAGAGAGGAGTCATTTGGGGTTTTTTGTTTGTGTTTTCGTTTATCCAGAAGGTGGCACTGTTATATTCCCTGTTCCAGGGGTATGGACTACTCCCCCAAACCCCCATAAAAAAAAAAAAAAGGAAAACAGGTAAGAAACAAATGTGGTCAAATTAGGAACAGTAGCACGTAGAGGTTTTTTGTATGTCACAGCCCTGAGGATTCCTATGAGGTGTGGGGAGGGGAATGTGGTGGGAAGGGTTTTGGGTAGGGGGCAATGAAGGGCAACCTTGTGTAAGAGAGAACACGGATTTATCCTTCAGAAGATCTATGTTCAGTTCCAACTCTGCCAATGACTAGTCTTTGCAACCAAGTTTCCTCATCTGCTTATCAGGACAGTAAGATAAGACCCAGGCAGAGGGCTGTTGCCAAGCCCAGGGTATTAACCTAGGGGGAAGAGGTCTGCAGTCTGCACCTGACTCCTCCCTTGTTTAACTGTACCCCAGGGCACCCTGGGAAGCTTGGTCACTAGACTCGCCCGCTTAGGGCAGCAGAGGACCAACGCTCCCAAGCCTGCTCTTGGCTTGAGCATTGCTGATTCTTTGGCACGCAGCACCGGCCACAGCACTTGCAAGGGAGGGTCAATCCTGCGGACTTTCTGGGTGCAGGGCCCAGTGGAGAAACTTGTTCTTCCTAACCCAATCGGGGATCTCTTCGCAGGCTCCGACCCCTCCCTGGTTGTCCCCACCTGGATCAGCGCTCCGCCAGTGGCTCAGCCTCAATTCCCCTTCCCGGGTCCTCAACCCTCAGCAGCCCATCCTCTCACCCCGGATCTGCAACTGTACTCCGTCTCTGCCTCCTATGGCCCCGTTGTCTCCCCAGTCCCACGCGCCTTTCGCTAAACCTGGCGCTCTGCGCTCACGCAGGGGCGCATCGACCCGCCCCAGAAGGCGCAGAGCCAGCCGCCGCCGGGAGTGCGCGCAGCCTTCCGGGGCTGGCGCCGGCCGGCTTCCCTAACCTGTGCGCAGAGTAAAACTGTCAGTCTGCAGGGACCGTACGGACAAAACCAGGGCATTTGTAGGTTTCCGCAGTGGCGAAACGCCTACGGAGCGTGCGCGATCCCACGGAAGAGACTTGGCGGCGGCGCCGGTGGTACCTTTCCCCTCTTGCGTCCAAGGGCAGCTTTTCGAACTCCCAGTTTTTGTTAGGGGCATAATCCCATTCTACCTCTTCAGCGGTGATGTAAAACGTTCTTATCATCCCGTACGGCTGCTCAGAAGGGTCCTTGTTGCCACAGCCGTTGACCTCATATATCTGACCCATGCCTCGCAAGAGGTGGTACAAGGTGGCACAAAACACCCTGAAAATACCTGAAAGAGAAATGGCTTTGGCATTGTGTGCGGTGCTCCACACTGTCGTTGTTGTTGGTCTGTTTTTAGCAGACCTGCGTATTTTATTCTAAAATAAATAACCAATAAGGTGGATTTTTAAAAATATCAATTTGATAGTAATTTAAAATCAGACCCCAAGCTAAATAAATTACTTTGAATATATTTACTTCAGGGGCAGAGTGGAAGTTACCATTTAAACTTCGCTTGTAATAGAAAAATAAGACTTAAAAGGCTGCTACCAAGAAATGACTTCTCTAGCTCGTCCTCATAATACACATCTATTAGGAAACAGAGTCGCCTGGAAAATCACCAATAGGTGTGACTGGCTTAGCACAGCCCAGTTTAAAAAGAACTAATTACCTGTAGGATGATTATCCTAAACAAAATTCAAATTAGGCCACATCTCTGAAGTCATGTATTTTGCCCTAAAGGATTTCATAAATTATAAAGTATGATAAGTATGTAAAGTAGTATTATTATTAAAGCCAAAGGTATTATTTCATTAAGCCTTTGAGCAAACGAGTTTCTCATTTCCAATGGTAGGTCTGTATTATGACAGATGAAAATGAAAAAGGAAAAAGAAGAAAAACCAACTAGATTTTTCTACATAATATCAGCAATCATGTCAAGTGAAAATTATGTAATTTTTTCAACTGAATTTTCTAGATGAGTTGGCATCAGGTAGATATATCCTAATTGAACTCACCATAAATTCATATAAGACAAATGAAATTACTGAAGATGTTAACTCTCAGTGAAATTATTGGATCAATAAATATTCCCTTCCCCTAGAGGTGAGTGATTAGTGTGCCACTCATTAACCACCTGCAATGCACAGAGATAGCTTCTGTCTTGCTACCCGTGTAAGTCTGTTGTCTAAATGTTGCAAGTTACTCCTAGATCAGCAAAAACTGTTGATTTAATGGGTTCCCAAGCACCTCCAGGCACTAACGAGGACTATTGTAAGAAAGAGTCTTTGTGAAACCAGAGAAGAACCCCTGAACTCAGAGGTGGAAAGACTACCCTATGCATTTGGTTTTTTTCAGGCAGCCTATTATGTATGTGTTGATCACGGCTCTTCAATAGTCAAAGAATTATATTCTTTAAGAACAAAGAGGATATGTTTGAGTTGCAGCCTACAGTCTATTCTACTCACTTTTGAGCACCTTTCTTGGCTTATAGGTAAGAGACAGGTATTGTTGAAATAATCAAGCTTTTAAGCAGTCACAAATTTATGCTCATCACCAAACATAAACCAGAAAACGATGTTCTGAAGCTCTTTAGAAGCCTGCAGAATACAAGAGTAATGATCAAGACGCTGGAGTGAGTAGCCAAATCTCTAAAATTATTCCAGCCAACTTTAGATTTGAGTGCTTGTTTCTATGAATTAAAACGATTTGGCCATTTCCCCATTCCCTGTCCTCTTTTCCCTTGAAGAATGCATTTTTTTTAAATCATTGTTTCCAAGGCATCCCTTGATTTGGGTGATTCGTAATTGATCAACTATATTAATGTAGAGAGGTAGAACACAAGAAGTTTATAAGTTTTATAAGGCAAAGATATGGAGCTGCTAGTTTCAGGTAGTCCTTGGGCAAAGGTTTTGAAAGCCAAGCCTCAAGTTCTTAACTAATGACACGGAGGAGTGCAAACTGAAGTTCCAATGTAAAGCAAAGTAGAGCATTCACTTAATAAATGGCAAGTACTCATTGTAGGTAGCATATTGGTTTCTTAAGACTGATGAAAAAGTTGGGTTGGAAAAACATGTTCAATGCCTGTAGCACTTGTTATCTGCATTTTTCATGCAGCAGGTGGCACATGTTACCATATTTTGCTCTGTATCTTGTATAAAAATGCCCAATTATCTAATTAGCATAGAATCTCTAAGAGAAGTTCCAGGTACTGGCTTTTTATGGGTATTTCCATGGACTGCAAACCCAGTGCAGCTTGCTCTGTGGGGAAACCAAGAGTGCCCAACAGAATGAAAATAGGGAAATCCCCAAATAACACATTAGGAAACCACTCTCAGTCCCTAGAGAAGGGAGACCCAGGTACAGTTATGGTAGGCTGCATCTGTAATCTGGAAGCATCCCCCCTGGCTGTCCATGCCTGGTAGATGCTTCAGAGCAGCAACTGGAATGATGTTTGTGCTCAATGAGCACAAAACATATCCTTTTTGTCGGGCCTGAATTTTTCATGCATTATGAATCAAGAGCATTCTCCTAGAGTTTGTGCAGCAAAGTCATTTAGAGGGCTTCTACTTCTGCTCTGTGGATGTTATTCTAGATACTTCTCCTCTGTCTTATACACTATGTGTTTGGACTAATATACTGAGAAATCTCTGATTCTAATCCAGACTGTATCTGTTTCTGCACTCCCTGAAGTAATCCAAGTTCTACCAATTTCTTTTGGGGGAGGACTCTAAGAGGATGGGGCCTCAAGATACAGACAGACCCACCAAGTTTACCTGCATGGTCTGGCTGCATGAATGCCGTTGTGGCCATGTGGGGAAACAGGGCCAGGGAGTCGCGGTGAGTCCCTCGGAGGTGGATGGTGTTCCCTTGAAAAGAAATTCCATGCATGTCGGTGTCAGTGCCCAATCCAATCATATGCCAGGAAACTCTATCCTTTTTGCACATGCTTAGTCCTGGCTGGTTGCCATACATGTAGCCATTAACAGCTAAATGGAAGGAAAAAGATAGTCAGAGCCCACTATAATTATGTAGATATACTGAAAACATACCATCTTAGTGAAAAAAATTAATGGGGGGTGGAGGTGTTCAAGTATGTAATTTTTTTTTTTTTTTTTGAGACAGAGTCTCGCTCTGTTGCCCGAGCTAGAGTGCCGTGGTGTCAGCCTAGCTTACAACAACCTCAAACTCCTGGGCTCAAGAAATCCTCCTGCCTCAGCCTCCCAAGTAGCTGGGACTACAAGCATGAGCCACCATGCCTGGCTAATTTTTTTATATGCATATATTTTTTAGTTGTCCGGCTAACTTCTTTCTATTTTTTTAGTAGAGATTGGGTCTCGCTCTTGCTCAGGCTGGTCTTGAACTCCTGAGCTCAAAAAATCCACCTGCCTCAGCCTCCCAGAGTGCTAGGATTACAGGCGTGAACCACCACGCCTGGCCTAAGTATGTAAACTATTGATAGAAGATCCTTTTTATCAGAGAATAAATAGTACTGGAGAAAAGCCACATGGTAAATCAACTTAAAATGGAGACCAAAGTTAACAATGAATAATGAAAATATACTAAAATTATTAAAATGTTATATTTAATAACACATATGCAAGGACACTAATTCTAAGAATCAATAAGAAATAAATCATGTTGTTTTCTGACATAATTTTCTGAAAATTGTTTCATAGCATGATATGATATCCTTTATTTTACATTTTATTTTTGCAGATTATAAAAAGTATCATTCTTGTAAAAAAATTTATTGCCTTCACTGATTTCCTTATATTCTTCTCAAAAACTCGTTATGAAAATCATTTTCGTTTGAGGTTTTTATCCTATCATCTCATGTGTTAAATGTCTCTTCCTCAGTTTTTAATTCATTTAATTCTGTCAGACCCTCTTTTGCCAGTGGCTTTGCATTTGAATCTAGAAGTTATCAAACAGAGCTTCCTTTGCCAGTGGCTTTGCATTTGAACCTAGAAATTATCAAACATCCTTTTACTGATTTCGGGGATTCTGAATCATTTGAAAGACTGTCAGTCAATTGACACTGTATTTGCATGTCTGGTCAGTAGAAAGGGATTTTGGGGGAGGGCGAGGGCACTAAGTTTATAAGAGGTTAGTCCTGGAGTAAATAAATTTGCTCTATGATAACTTCTACTTCCTCACTCCAGTAAAATAACTGCAGGGCCTTTTTTTTTTTTTTTTTTAGACAGAGTTTCGCTTTGTTGCCTGGGCTAGAGTGCCGTGGTGTCAGCCTAGCTCACAGCAACCTCAAACTCCTGGGCTCAAGCAATCCTTCTGCCTCAGCTTCCCAAGTAGCTGGGACTACAGGCATGTGTCACCATGCCCGGCTAATTTTTTCTATATATTTTTAATTGGCCAATTAATTTCTTTCTATTTTTAGTAGAGACGGGGTCTCACTCTTGCTCAGGCTGGTTTCGAACTCCTGACCTCTAGCAATCCGCCCGCCTCGGCCTCCCAGAGTGCTGGGATTACAGGCGTGAGCCACCGCGCCCAGCCTACTTCAGGGACTTTGATCATGTTCACTTAGATATGAAGACCTTCTGTACTTCCAGAGTGGCAAATTGTTTTTATCTTTTACACTGACCTCAATCATTCAACAAACACCTTTTGAACACAGCCTACGTAATAGACACAACACAAAGCGTTTTTGTAGCATATGAGGCCCCTTCTGTTTGGCTTCGTTGCTTTTTTCCTCCCACTCCATGCAAGCAAGACTGAAGCTAGAACTTAGTTTATAATTAACGTGAAATTTAATTAAGATACATTATTTTCCTTGAGCTTTGCTTTAAAAACAACACATCCCGCCTTTCTAAGATGTGAAAACGAGTTTCTCATTGCCAAACCAAGTTGGGGCTAGATGTGACATGGTTCAATCGGTTGTTCAATATTTTCTAAATAAAGTCCTCTCTGATGATAAATTTCTTCTATAACTTAGCTTCTCCGCTAAGGAACTGTGGAGAAGTTCCTATGTTTCCTCATCTCTAGTGTAGTTGCACTTTTGTATTGTGTACTAAGAAGTTCATAAAGAAATTTAATAGTTATAGCAAAACTTTTCTTTTTATAGAAGATGATACTGAAAATGCAGTACTCCATGCTTTCCATTGGTCCAGGAGGGAACTCTGTTGGAAATTCTCATCTGGGACCATGGGGTGTGTGACCTGGTTACTGTGCGTCACTTGTAACCATGGACTTTTTTTGACTTCCATGGCAGGGAAGGAGACTAGGAGCTATTTTGTTATTTTTTCATAATGTTTTTAAAGGCAATAAATAGATGCTATGCTGGATCTTAAAACAAGCAGATTAGCATCTGTTATCTTAATAATACTTGACTTAGGCACTTTTGTTGACCCCACACTTTTGTAGGCATTGGGTTTAAACTCTTGCTCATTACTCCACCACCTTAGGTAATATACTCAAGACTAATGAGCATCCTGTGTTAGTCACAACCAATTAGTACGTGGTTTGCTATCGTAACACTTGACATAAAGAGAGACAAGGACGGAGAATTAAATGATTCCTCCCAAATGAAGATCTGGGATAGTAGTGGTAGTGTTTTACAAATTAACACTTTCAGCAATCACTTGTACTGCTTAATTAGAGACACTTGCTGTAGAATGATGATTCCCCTGTTATCACTTTGGTTTTCAGACTTAATGATGTTATTGTGAACCCAACAGAGGGCATTTTGCCAGTAATTTTCTAGATTTATGATGAACTGTGATCTTTGCTAGTTTTAATTTTGTGTTGCTTCATCTAAAGATAATAAAATGTTTTAGGAGTATTAAGTTTCACAACATCTCCGGGAAATAGTGAGGGGTCACCACACCCTGTGAAGATGAAGACATGAAATAACTTACTTGTAACCAAGAACAATACCCAAGAAACAAAAATTTAAGTTAATTAGAATATTCCAAATGTTTTCCCTTCAAGTGCAATGACACCTTTCCTTTGCAGGGGGGAAAGTGGTTTGTCATACCATGCATTCGGTTGGATTTCACAAACTCTTTATCTTCTTTGTCAACACTGAAGGGACGCCAGGTAAGCTTCTGAATGTTTTCGTCAAAATACCTGCTCAGATTCTCATCGAAGACTGTGAACAGTAGGTAAAACTCCTTGTCTATTCCTTTCTGCAGAGAAGAAATAAATGAATATGGAAAGAGCTCAGCTTGGAGGAGTTCACAGCACTGCTTTGCTGTCAAAGTTCACACAAAGTGGGTTAGGGCGACCAACATCAGCCGTACACGTGCCAGCTTATTTTGTAGATCAGGATTCAGAACCTTACTCTGATGAATATGTTCCATACCCAGAACATTCTTCTTTCTCACTATATCCTTCTCCCCACCCATGTGACTTCCTCCAAGGAAATCAGTCCCTGCTCAGAAGTCCTTGCCCTAGATGGTGCTCCTGTTATCAGACTGGTGCTTACTGACCTCCACACCCCCGTCCAGCCGCGCTCTCTCTCTCTCTCTCTCTCTCTCTCTCTCTCTCTCTCTGACTTCATCTCCATGTACTCACGCACTGGCTTGCTCCCGCCACTCTGGCCTTCTGCCCTTCCATGAGCCGCCAACCTCATTCCTGACTACCTGTTCAGCCTCATATCTTGCAGCAGGGAAGATGGGAGTCCTGAACCATAAACCATCACACCAATCTGCATGTTGAAATGTGGGTAAGGGAGATGAGTTTTGCGAATGAGGTCACACTGGAATTTTCAGTGGCTGTTTGCAGGCTATACATTTAATGTTTAAGACGTGTGTGATAGCATTTTCTGTTAACTAAACTTAACTTTGGGGAGAGCCCGTGCCTTGTATTTTGTTTATTCAACCACAAATATTTGTTGAGGGTCAACAATGTACCAGGCATAGTTCTAGGAAATGAAGATAAGACAAGCTGCAAGATAAGTACCTGCTCCACGGTACTTACATCCTTGTAGGAGGAGCCATGCTATACACATAAGGAAATAAATAAACAAGGAAAATATCCTATGGAGGTAAGTGATAGCTAAAGTTGGATGATGTAATAGAGAGTGACTTTAGCTGGGTGATCAGGGAAGGCTCTGAGAAGGTGACAAGAAGAGTTAGAGGAAGATGTTCCAGGCACAGAGAGCCTAAGCCGGAGGCAAGCTTGGCTTTTGCAAGGAACAGAAAGGATAATGTGGATGGAGCACAAATGGCCAGGGAGCACGGTGACAGATATCAAGGGAACCAGAGGCTGGGGCACACACGGCCTAGGCTAAGAAGTGTGCATTCTTACTCTACATGCGATAGGAAAGCACTGGAGGTGCTGAACAGGGAAGTGACTTGAACTTATTTTCACTTTAGAAAAATCATGCTTGGTGCCCTGTGATGAAATTAATCATTGTGGGAAAGAGGGGGCGTGAACAGGAGACAATTCAATGCAACACCTGATCCTAGATCAGAGCCTAGACCAGGAAAAATGTTTTTCTTTTGCTATAAAGGACATCAATGGGAGACATTAGCACAATTTTAAGAGGTATGTAGATTTGATAATATCCAGGTTAATTTCCTGACTTGGACAGTTTTACTGCGTTTCTATCAGAGAGTGTCCTCATTTTCAGGAAACACAATGAAGAAAAATAATAATGCTGAAAAACAGAGAGAGAGTAATAAAGTAAATGAGGTAAAATGTTCATATTTGGGAAATCTTGGTGATGGGTATATGAGGATTCTTTGTGGAGTTTTTTTGCCATTTGTACATGGGTCAACTTATTTCAAAATAAAAAGTGTAAGATGGATATAGATGGGTGGGAGTGGAAGGAAGGAAGGAAAGAGAGAGAAAAAAATGAAGGAAGGAAGAAAAGAAGGGAAGGAGGGTAGCAGTTAGGAGTTTGGTTGAATAGTTATTGTGGAGGGCTATGAGTATTAGAAAACAGCTTAGGCCGGGCACGGTGGCTCATGCCTGTAATCCTAGCACTCTGGGAAGCCAAGGCGGGAGGATTGCTCGAGGTCAGGAGTTCAAAACCAGCCTGAGCAAGAGCGAGACCCCCCATCTACTAAAAAAAGAAAAATTAGCCAGGCATGGTGGCGCATGCCTGTAGTCCCAGCTACTCGGGAGGCTGAGGCAGCAGGATTGCTTGAGCCCAGGAGTTTGAGGTTGCTGTGAGCTAGGCTGATGCCACGGCACTCACTCTAGCCTGGGCAACAAAGTGAGACTCTGTCTCAAAAAAAAAAAAAAAAAAGAAAACAGCCTTATATCACCTGACCATACCTTGTGATATCCATTCACCACTAAGAATTTATGACAATTTACTAGAAAGAGATGCAAACACCAGTTTTCATGTTCATCTCTCCACCTGCCTAGAAGAGGCCTGGCCAGGTTTTTGCCTATTAGAGGGCCTAGCACATAGTAAGTGTTTCACAATTCTTCTTATATTGAAAATAACTTTCCATCTGGCCAAATGAACTCCTCTCTCAGCCAAATTCCAGGTATGGGGTGTTTCAGGTTACTATTTTTTTCATGAACTTTGTGTAAATAGACTGATCATGAATAGCATTTGGCTTAGGCACCAACTCTCACAGACCTTAGGTGTTTCTAGCAAGCCTCAAAATTACCACTGAATGGATGCAACAGGAACAAAATCTGTACTACCTTTAAAACATTATTTGGCCCTAAATCTCCTTGGCTTAGTTTATTTAGCCGGTAGGAAGCCAGTTAGTATATCGGAAAAAGAACAAAGTTGGATGCTCAAAGTCCTAAGTTTTACTCCTGAGTTTTCTTACTTGGTATATTTCCTGGGATTTCACTCAATGTCTCTGAGCCTCAGTTTCTCCAGCTTTAAAACATGAATAATCATTCTGCTTTGCTTTATATGATTGTTGAGGTACAGTGTAAATATTCAGACTTATAACACACATGTAGTAGGCATTTCCAGGATTGGTCCTTCGTGTAGGACAATGAAAATTGGAAGTGGACCAAGATATTTTGTGTCCTCTAAGCCTGGAAATTCTTTTGAGCCCAGAAGTTGGCCTATAAAATACCAAAAATTATAAAAAATATCATTTAAATAAATTGCCTTGCAATTTCTAATTGCAGAAGCAAACTGGATTTTCATCACTATGTTTAATACCATGCAGACATAGCCTGAAATGCCACGCTTTGCCACTCTAACCAGTGCAACCATTCAAGCCTCTAAGTTGGGACTTGCAAGAAGTTATCTACATGTGTTCTTATTCCTTCAGCCGTAGTGGTGCTTAACCTCCGGTTTACCATAATGAGTCACAGTGGTTCTCAGCCTTGGCTACACATCGGAATCACCTAGAGGTTCTGACAGATGGGTGTGGAGCACCTGAATAAAGGCTGTTTAAAAGGTCCCCAGGTGATTCTGATCGTGGCCAAGTTTGAGAAACCTTGACCAAGAAAACTAATCCCAGTTAGCATTCCATGTGGATTTCTGATGATTCCAGAATCAAAGCAACACCAGGAAAAGCCCAACAAATTCCAACCACAACAAGCAGAAATCCTAGGTTCCTAGTTGGGCATTTGTTATTAGGAATTCAGACCTTAAATATTTACCCAAAAAATTAAAATAAAATTCCCATTATGTAGAAGTCAATGTCAAGAGGAAGCAGGAGAAATCACTCTTTGTAACTATCACTGATCTGTAGACATATTGTGGCTCTCTCCCACATACAACCCTGAGAAGAACCGGGGACATTTGATGGCCTACCTGTGTCCCATCAGCATTGAGAACACCCCTTTTACAGACTAGCAAAGGCCCTACAAGGCCTGAGTTTGTGTCCTTGATTGGGTCAACTGCCGAGAAGTAAAGATAGGTCAAGCAGGGTGGGTCGTCAGCTGTAGGGCTTACGCTCTCAGGCACCGTCCACCTGTATGTGAAGGTTTCACCTGGTTTAACATGCGCCCCCGGTTTCAGAAATCCTGAGGATATAAATGAAACAGTTACACAAATCAACAGCCAAGAACATTAAACTTGTCACACAGGGTGTGATCCTCTCTCTGATGATGATGACTTTTGCACAAGGACAGTTGCTTCCTCTTATGTATCCCACCAGAGGAGGCCACTGCCACAGCCTGCTGTTTTATGAGCTAGGTACTTAAAGGATTGTCTTCTTCATAGATTGCATACTATTTTTACTCAAATACTAGGCTTAGCAAATATTAAAAGAGTGATAGTGATAGATTCTATAATTCAATGAAAGAATTGAATTCTCTATCAATCTATAGAGTGATAGATCCTATAATTCAATGAAAATCCATGAGATATCACTGGAGTGCCTTCTGTGTAGAATATATTTTACTTGGCCCTTCAGAAGGCATCAAAAAATGTTAAGCAAGGGGTCTATCTTTAAAGAGTTTGAAATCTAGAAGATTGAACTAGGCCATAACTCAAATAACTACAAGATAAAAGAGATTAGTGAACACCCAAGGTGATAAAGCTGATAAAAGGCAGATCTGGGATTGAAACTCAGTTTTGTCTGATTCCAAAGACTGTGCACTTAATCCTCACCTTGTATTGCCAAAAAAACACAACACACTGAATCTCTCCTATTAGATGTCAGAGACTCACTGTGCATCTTGCCCAGCGCTTTGCAAAAAGGTGCCCAATATGTTTGCTTAGTTAAAAAAAGAAAATATAAACATTTTGTCTGTCCCTAGTGTTCTTTCTGTGTGTGGACCATTCCCTCCTCCTCTGTGCCCTCACCATCACCACAAAGCCTGTTCTCAACTGAGCTCGGCCTCACATGCAAGTGTGAAGTATCCCAGGAGGTCTTGATGTCTGTTATGGTGAGAGGCACAGGTACTAAGGAACCAGGAGTTTCCCAAGAGCAGTATCATGAATGGAAGGGTAGTTCCTGCAGCCACTGGGCAACAGCTGCCTTCCTTCCACGCAGCAAGCCTGCACTGCGTCCTCTGTGATGGGGAGAGGCCACATATGATGGCAAGCACACAATGCTGGTTTTAAATAAATATTTGTTGGCCAGGCACGGTGGCTCACACCTATAATCCTAGCACTCTGGCAGGCGGATCGCTCAAGGTCAGGAGTTCGAAATCAGCCTGAGCAAGAGCGAGATCCCGTCTCTACTTAAAATAGAAAGAAATTAATTGGCCAACTAAAAATATACAGAAAAAATTAGCCGAGCATGGTGGCACATGCCTGTAGTCCCAGCTACTCAGGAGGCTGAAGCAGAAGGATTGCTTGCGGGCGGGCGAGGTGGCTCACGCCTGTAATCCTAGCTCTCTGGGAGGCCGAGGCGGGCGGATTGCTAGAGGTCAGGAGTTCAAAACCAGCCTGAGCAAGAGCGAGACCCCGTCTCTACTATAAATAGAAAGAAATTAATTGGCCAACTGATATATATATAAAAAATTAGCCGGGCATGGTGGCGCATGCCTGTAGTCCCAGCTACTCGGGAGGCTGAGACAGAAGGATTGCTCGAGCCCAGGAGTTTGAGGTTGCTGTGAGCTAGGCTGACGCCATGGCACTCACTCTAGCCTGGACAACAAAGCGAGACTCTGTCTCAAAAAAAAAAAAAAAAGAAGGATTGCTTGAGCCCAGGAGTTTGAGGCTGCTGTGAGCTAGGCTGATGCCACGGCACTCTAGCCTGGGCAACAAATTAATTAATTAATTAATTAATATTTGTTGATAGATACAGAGACCATGTGTAAGGCTCTGATGTCAATGAAACATTGAAAATCAGATTTTCTCCCTTGCCTTCACCTGCAGACTCCCATGCAACCTACAGCAGAAAAGCTGCCTGTCTTAGAGAAGAGGAAGTGGTTGTGAAAGTTGCTCGCTTTGAGATTTACCACATTACTGAGGGAAAAGGAAACAAATTAACATTTCCTAAGAACCTCCTGTGGGCCAGACACTGTCCTAACTTCTCTCCATCCCTTTCCAAAGTGCCGTGAGGTGTTATCATCTTCCTTTGACTGGTGAAAAGAATATGGTTCAGAAGGTTTAAATACTTGCCAAGCTCTCCAGGCTAGTAACAGAAAAGACCAGGACTTGAACCAGGTCTGTCTAGTTCTAAGCCCTTTGCTCCCTCATCCTGTTTCCTGGCCAAGCCCAGGCTGAGACTTACCGTCTACGTTTGGGGCCGCGTCAGACGCTTTGTCATAGATCACACCGTGGGGCAAAACGCTGTAGACCTTATCAGCTTTGTTGGCAAAGGTCACTAACAGGGTATCCCCCACCTCTGCCTTGATGACTGGGCCTGAAAAATAGCAAGAGGAGGATAGAGAAGAATGAAAAGAGACAGAAGGAAGTGAGTTGGAGCAGGAGAATAGTCATCCTGTGCAGATGTGTTAATATATGTCCAGCTAACGGCTCCCAGAGTTCAAAACATGAGGGATGGTTTTACTGTACCAAGAATTCCAAGATGGGCTTCTGCAGCAGAGAGTCTCTTTCTTTGGGTAAAAGTTGCATCAACAAATTCAGTGTACCGAGCCTTCCAGTATTTTCCTCCTATTCTGTTGTTCCCTTGTGTGAAGTAGAGCTCAGAATCACTGTGAAAAGACACAGGAACCTGCCTGAGAACACAGTTCCACATATAATATCTACCAAACGCCTCAGTTATGGAGCTTCATTTTATTGTCGCTAGCCCACTCGGCCACCCGTCTCCCGAGAAAAAACAGCACAGGCTTCAACAGAGTTCCCAGAAATAGTCAACCAGCCTCCACAGTCTTGGGAAGCTGGATGATGCCTAAGCTCATTTCTCTCTTAGCCATTGTACTTTCTTCTCCCGAGGTCCAGCAACCAAAGGCAGCACAGGAGAACTTACTTAGCAAAATTGGAGTTCCAGAACGGTGTCCTACAAAGTAACAAAGAGCTAACTGTGTTCTTTACAGAATAAGCATCCCTCTCTGTCTTGCTGATGTCAATATGAATAGTGACTGCATCCAGTAAGCTCTTTGGTATCTGGCATGATTAAAGAATGGAGTGTCTAGTTAATCAAGTAGTTTAATCAGTGGAGCGTTATTGTATAAACTATATACATGAAATACCAAATTTCCAAGTTGTGAAGATGACAATATAAATTCTGACTAATACTGTCTCTATACTATGTAATTTCCTTCAATGGTGCCACCACTCTTAAAGTCACATAGACTGGCTTTGTCTTCTTTTTCTGCCTCATCCCCTTATCTCATTCATCCTTACTTTGTAAATTTTTTGCACCCTTTGTTTTCTATATTTTTTGTGCTTCTTTTCTTTTCCTTTCTTTCCACTGACACAGTTCATGCCCTAATCACCTTGAGTATGGACCATTATCTTCTCACGCTGGCTCATGCATTTTTTTCTTGACATACACACTGCTACAACCTTAATCTCTAAAGTGGTAGTTTTCATTGTCATTTACCTGCTCCAAAATCTTCAATTGCTTCCAATTGCCAATCAAATAAAGTTCAAAAGAATTAAAGGACCTCTGCAGTTGATATCCAGTTTACCCCATTCCCTCCCTATTTATTTATGCAAATGCCCATTCCTCTAAGCAAATCCTCTGCTCCAGGCATTCTGAGCTATTCATGCTCCCTTATCCAGTGGGTGCTTTGCATTAATTCCTGCATCTAAAATTTCTCTCTTCACTATTCACTTGTATAAATTCTGTCACTCTTCAAAATTGTGCATAAGTCCTACTTCCTCTGTGAAGTGTTCCCTGGAGTTAGCTTTCCTCTGAATGCCCACTGGATGACTCATCTTACTCATATTTGTAACTTGCAAAATTAGTTTTCTTCTCCTGTGCATCCAGCTACTTTCTCCACTTGAAGGTGGAAACATTGTCTTAGATATCCTTGCATCCCTCACGTCACTTTGTACGTTGTGCTTTCATATATCACAGTAGATATCAATTGAATATAGTTTACTCTTTCATATTTCAGAAGGTACTTCAGAATTCTAGAAGACCTCTAAGACATAATTTTAAATGATAATTCTCATTATTCTGTTCGTGGAGAAATACTGGTCAGTAGAGAATGTTTATATCAAAGAGTTTTCCATGTGTGGTTCACACAAATCCTTTAAGCAAGGTTCAAGTACATCAATTTGGTGAAAGAATGAATGACTGTATGAATGAATGAATGAGTGAATGAATGAACAAATAAGTGAAATGTACAACTAAAGAAACAAATGATGTCTTATCATTGCAAAGGGAATTTTTACAACATTCTCTCAAATATAAAAAAAGGATTATAGGGTAAAGCAATCATTCTTGATATCACACTGTACATTTTTTTAATGCTTTTATAGAGTCATTGCATGTGATTCTAAAACAAATCACAGGAGTCCACATGCATTTAATGAATTGCTAGATTCAATTTAAAAAATACTATATGCTATGGGAGCCTAGACATTAGAGTTAGGCTTTGAAAGAAAAATGGCATTCTACTGAACAGGGAGGAAAAGAACATTTTATAGGACATAGAGGGAGCATAACATATCTAGGGCTTCGCTTGAACCAAAGAAGTAAACTCCTTGGCCAGCTTATCTCTATTGAAATAGAATCTTGTCTTATTTCCTCTTCAAGACTGTCTGCTCCATATATGCAAAGGCTTTTTTTCCATTCTCTATTGGCTTAGTACTTCTCATGGCATTTAGCACTGTGGTTTGCACATAGCAAGTATTCAAGAAATGTTGGATGAATGAATGAATGGATCTAGTGGTTTGATTTAGCCAGCAAGTCAGAAAAGAATAAATACTCTGCCAGTTCTCAGCAGTACTTTTACAGTATTAAGAACTCTCTAAGCAGCGACATTATGCCTTCTATGAGTATGTGCTCATTAGAGCAGTGCCTGGAATACAAATGCAATCCCAGGGCAAGTCTAACACATGCCTCTGTGAAGAGAGACTTGGAAACACGGGCAAAGAGTGCTTACCTGCCAGAGGCATTGAGGGGAAGACCACTGAATTTGTCATAGCCTTGAGGACCATAATCCCAAAGAACTTTTTCAGCTGCTATAAAGTAGCGCCTTTGTTGACCCTTCATCTTGGGGTGAAAAATATCACTTTTGCAGTTACCAACATTGTACTGCCCCAGCATACCAGCTGCAGAACAGAGGAAAACCACAGCCAATGTATAAATGCTCATAAAATAAATTATACAGAAAAGGACTGATCGATCTGACTGCATGAACATTTAAAACTTTCGTACAGGAAATTAGATGATAAACAAAGTTAAAAACAAAGGATAAATGGTGCGCTGAGGGATATTTGTAGCAAATATAACAGAGGATTAATATGTAAATCCCTTTTACAAATTAGGAAAGAAAAAATAGGCAGGGGACAGAAATATATTATGCAGAAAAGAAATAATATTGGCCAATGAACAAATGAAAACAAAAGTTCAACCTTAATAATAATCAAATGACAGTGTTGTTCATCTATATGACCAGTAAAGATTATAAAGACTATTAATTCTCAATGTTAGTAGAAAAATGGGGAGAGGAGTATGCCCCCACACTGCAGGTAGAAGAACAGCAGGTGCTGAAAGAGAATTTGGCAATATATGTCCATAGCTTAAAAAAATAAATCAAACTCTTTGACCTAGGAATTCCAAATCCAGTAATTTCCCCAAGCAAATGTTCATGCAAAAGTGCAACTATATCTATAAATTGATGATCATCAGTACTGTTTATAACAGGAAAAAAAAATAATGGAGGAAAGTGCAAGTGTTAAGCAATAGAGTGTTAGTTAAGTAAATTATAGTCTCCTTATACTGGACACTGGGAACATTAACAATAATGAGGTAGCTCTATATTCACTGACATGAAAATACACTTCTGATATACTAATCAGTGAGAAAAGTAAGTAACAGGACAGCATTAATAGATTAATTTCGTTTTACAAATATCATGTATTTATATATTAGGATATAGAAAATAGGAAGATATTCATGGAAATGTGGTACTGTTATCTCTATGTGGGACTATTGAACTTTAAAATCAAATTATATGTATTTTCTAATTTTTTACGATAAATTTTTCTGAGAGCATGGGCAATTTAGGAAATACTGTATTTTAGTGACTGTAATAAGCAACAGCTATGTCCACAATTACTGGCCAATTTAGCAATCTTGCTAGTCTCTCAAATGGCTGCTAATGTCTTGATTTAAAATCTACAATTTCTTCCCGGATTTAACAACATGAGACCCTTTGAGAACAGGAACCTTGTCTTATTCATCTTTGTATCCCCAAAGGAATGTCCAGCACGTATTAACTAATCAACTCTCTAGCTGAACTTAATTGGGATAATCCGGCTGACTAATGTTAAGATGAGCTGCTTAAGGTGGACAGGAGCAAGAATGTGTTATCAAAGCAGCCCTGAACAGGTGGATCCCTGTTCATGTTAGTGACAGTGCGTAGTTAGTCGGTATCCAAATTCAATCGGACATCATTCCTTCTGTGTCTATCCAGTTGTCACTTTTTGTTTCTGTCCTTGTTTTCACCATCTTAGGCCAGACCCTTTATATGTCATAACTCTAATGTTGCCAGTGCTTCTTAACTAGCATCCAGTGGCCAGAATTTCCCCATCAAAGCCTTTCCGCACACATATATTTATCTTCCAAAATCACTGTACTGATTGTGTCACGAGTATGCCTAAGGATCTTAGGATCACAATTACCTTCCCAAATGCGCCCACACCTCCTGCTAATCGCCACTCAAAGCCCCTCCCCAGGTTTCTGTCTCATCACTTCGCTGGACCTTATGGTCCAGCTAAGAAAGGACATATTCTCTGGGGTCCCAAGGAACCAGGGCCAAGTCCTTCAACAGGCATTTAACCCAACAGATGTTTATCATGCACCTGTCCTAGGCCATGAAGAAAGCTATAGGTCAATGGATTTTGTCTCGATACAAGGAAAAACATTCCAATAGAGCAGTCCAGGGATGAGATGAGCTGCTATAGTTACTTACAAGAGATGTTCGAAAGGAAATTCAAGAATTGGATGGGAGATTGGTCCTTTTTATCTAGAAAGCCCTTACCAATGCTAAATATTTATTATTGTATTTACAGTTGCTCAAAGAAAACATGTGTTTTTCCCAGTTCATGTGTTGCATTCTCTACCTGGAAAACCTCTTCCCTTCTTCATCTGTGCAGTTCCAACTCATGTTTCCAGGCTCAGGTTAGGAGCCAGCTCCTCAGGAAGGCCCTCTGACTGCTCCAGAGTAGTGACTAGAGCTCCTAAGGAGCATTTATCTCATTCTGCCTCAAATTTTATTCATTTTGTAAATGTCTAACTACTAGTTAGACTTCTTGAAGGTCTCATCATTTTTTAGATTGCCCCCCACCTTGTTCATACAAAGACATTTATTAAATATCTGTTGATAGGACGTCAAATAAATGAACATTGCGTTTTCCTACACATTTGTTATTTAATTAAATATAATGCATACAAGAATCTGCTAAGAGCAGGCACTGGATGAGCACTTGTGACCATGTGGTTTAACTGTCTAAGCATCTCCACTTTGGTCTTTGTCCATCTTACCTTGTAGGTGGTCGCTGACCTGGCAGGTTATCATCCACTTCCCGGGATTCTTGGCTATCATTTCTGTTGTGAGGAAGGTGGCCGGGAACAGGTTAACGACATCAGTCCGATGTCCTCTGCTGATGAAGGTGTTACCGTAAAAATAGATGGAGTGGATGTCTATCTCGTTCCCCATTCCAAAGAGGTGCCAGGACACGGATTCACCCACACACATGTCAGGCTCGGGGAAGTTTCCAAAGAGGTATCCGTTGAGGGCTGCAAACAGAAACACACCAGTGGAAGACAGTCCCCTGCAGAGGCAAGTGGGACCAGAGACGCTGGTAGTGTGTGCTCTAGTGAGGCTGCAAGACCAGTGCAGACCATCGGTTGTAATGTTTTCTTGCAGACATGCCTGGACCTTTAAAAAAAAAATTGTTCCAGAAAATTAAAAAAAAACAAAACACCTTTGTATTGGTCTTTTTCTAGAGAAAAGCACTCGGTAAAAGTGAAGATCGGCACGTACTGCAGACAGCCTCAGAGTGGCTGTGTGAACACCGTAATGAGGTCAGGAGAAAACGGTGCTGCTCATACTTCCAGGGTGCTCAGTGGCCTCCTGTCCTAATCCTTCACTGGTATGTCTGCCACCTCTGCCAGACTCTGCTGTCCTAATCCTTCACTGGTATGTCTGCCACCTCTGCCAGACTCTGCTGTCCTAATCCTTCACTGGTATGTCTGCCACCTCTGCCAGACTCTGCGTCCCTTGGAACTGGAAACCCCATCTGCTGTAGGGACCTAGCAGAAAAGCTGTCGCATAGTATCTACTTAATTGACAAAAGCTTGTAGCAAGACGGAAAGAAAAGGAACTGGTTAGAAGGGATTTATGAGACATGTTTATATTTTGTTACTTTGAAAAGCAAGGAGAAAACCAGTTTTTACTAGGTGTCACTGGGGCAGAATCTTACTGAATGAGCTTACACCATAAGTCTGGAACCGAATACTTTAAAACCATATAAATGGCAGACGGGACTTGACCAGGTGCAGAAAAGAAGTTGATTCAGGGCTTTAAAAAGTCATAACATCCCTTCTTAAATTCAAACTGAGTTAAAAAGCAATTGTTGCTGAGATAATGGTGACTTAAGCAGTACAATTAGTTCTAAATCATTTTAGTAAAATTAAATAAATTGATCAATTAATCTTTCATGTATTGATTGTCTTCTATAGATGAGTTTTTATTTTAATTAAATTTTTTTCTATACTTGATTAGGTCTCCTATGCCAGTCTTGAAGAAGGATTGATTGTTTATAAACATCTACTTCTGTGTACAAGCTGGTTTTTATTTTAAACGTAGTCTATGTTTGCTTATGTAATTCATTCCTTTTTGTTGGACATTTTCACTTCAAAAGAATAAATACAGAGTAAGAGGAATTATGGGGACATAACTCACATAAATTATGTGTCTTAAATCATCACATTTAGTAGTTTTCAGGAATATTTAAGATCATTACTCCCATTTTATAAAGAACAGGAATAAAACTGGTCACAGCAATGATTTGAATTTAGGTCTTCATTGATCCATCCATCATTGTTTTCTCTGCCTCCCTTCCTGCTCCTCTCCTTCTCTCTCTCACTTGCTTCCCTCCTAAAGTGTTTTCCAAGCGTCACTACACACAAAGTTGGTGAAACAACACTAGAAGGAAAAGAGAAGGCCAGTGACACGATGCAAATAGTCTGCTGACAATAACGCCTCCACGTGGTTTAGAATCAAACACAACCAAAGTACCAATAATATTTATTTACTATGTGACTTCTTTCAGGTTCTCTCTGGCTCTAATTATTACTTGGACTTTAGGCAAGTCGTTGATGGTCTCTTGACCTGAGTTTCTTCATCTGTGAAATGGAGAGGTCAAATGATCTTCAACTCCTTCCCTTTCTCTTATGATTTTATGACTACCTTGAGGCTGCCTTGGTTGGGATGATTCTCAGAGGCAGACAAGCAAGAGATAGAGGAGATCTGTCAATGAATGAAGGGGGATGTTTACATTGACAATTTCCTTTATGTTCACTAGAACTCTCTAGAAAAAGAGTGGAAAGAGACCACTTAATCCTCACACCCTAAAATGCTGCATTAAGCTATTGCGCTGCAAAACAGGCATGGGTGAAGTGTTTTGTCTCAACTGACAGGGTAACTAGAGAAGTTCACTATTTTGCACAAATATGGGGTCTGGTGTATAGTGGATGCCCAGTACATTTTGTTGATTTACAGAATGCTTAAGAAACATAACAAAATCACAAACGAATGTTTAAACCCCATGCAGAGCATGGTTCTTAAAATTTAGCAGCTGCTCAGAACATGGCTACTGGATAAAGCAAGAGGTTGCAAAAAACAGAATTCATAAAGGTGATGAAAATTTTATTCCCCTTTCTCCTTTCAGTCTATCTAAACCCACCCAACCTCTAGGCTCATCTTGGGCACTGATTCTTTCCTGGTTACGGTATGACATTTGTCCCTCCATCTCTGTACCATGGCTTTGTCCATATTGCGTGCCCAGTTTAGCATGTATCTACTGCCCTGTTCCCTCTCAGATGGTTTCATGTTCTGACGTGTATCACACCTTCTATCATTTTCCAAACCACTCTCATCATTAAGTTATAAATATTGCCAAACTAGGTTCAACATTTCTGTGTATTTTGCATCCTTTGTGGTACCTTGTAGTACAAAAGGCACTGACTGGTATGTGTTTGAGGACTTGGGAGATACTCACCATGCATCTTGTTACTCCTCTGGAAAACAGCATCTTTTTTGTCAACAGAATTGGGGTCAGTGCAGAAATGTTTGATATTTTCATCGAGGTACCAGCTCTGATTCTCATCCACGAGAGTAAACATTATAATGAACTCTCGATCCACATCAGTCCTTGTACCTGAATATCTGTTTAGGGTACCTATCAGAGTAGAGAGAAAGTTCAAAAGAGTAGAGAAAACAGTTCAAGGTGAACTAAATCAAGATGAGCGTTGCTTCCTGCCAGTAGTGTTGGGTGGGTTTGAAGTTTGTTGAAGACCTACACGTACAAGGACAACCCACAATATAAAAGCAGCAATAGGCTTTAATGGAAATGATAGAACCAGAGAAAAGTCATAAAACAGAAATCTTCACAACTGCAGACTTAGAAACTTGGCTATTCGTAAAGAAAGCCAACTTTATTGACAAAACACAGACATGATAGAAATCAGTCTAGAAATCAGGAATTAAGTAGCAAACTGATTATTTGGGTGAAATAATGAAGCAAAAGTCATCCATCATCATTTGACTAAATTTTTCACTTTGACATATGTGGTGTTATAGAATGTCATTATTTAAAAATACATATATAAGTTTCAGAATGCTGTGATGATTCTTAGAATCTGAATTACTGCCCTCTGCTATGGTGGCAGATTGATTTTCCATGTTAGGAGAATTTCCCTAATCTTGAACAAAGTTTGGAAGAAGAGGCCCATTCATTCTATGTAGAGCAAGGGAGGTAGGCAAAACAAGACCTGATTCTTTTTTTTGTTTGTTTGTTTTGAGACAAGGCCTCACTCTGTTGCCCGGGCTAGAGTGCCATGGCATCAGCCTAGCTCACAGCAACCTCAAACTCTTGGGCTCAGGCAATCCTTCTGCCTCAGCCTCCCGAGTAGCTGGGACTACAGGCATGTACCACCATGCCCGGCTAATTTTTTCTATATATATTTTTACTTGGCCAATTTATTTCTTTCCATTGTTAGTAGAGGTGGGGTCTCACTCTTGCTCCGGCTGGTTTTGAACTCCTGACCTTGAGTGATCCGCCTGCCTCGGCCTCCCAGAGTGCTAGGATTACAGGCATGAGCCACCGCATGCGGCCAACAAGATCTGATTCTTAGTCACACTTCAACACCCCAGTTGCCTGCTCTTGGAGGGCAGGAGGCCTCCTTACCTTCCTTACACACCAGCAGGGGGCCAATGAGCCCAGAGCAGATGTCCTTAGGGGCGTCGATGTGCGAATGGTACACCCAAGTCAGGCAGTTGGCGTCTGCCGGAGCAGGCGCGTATTCTTCTCTCACCGGCCAGACGTAGGTGTAGTTTTTGCCAGGAGGAACCACGTCATCATTTTTGTTTTTTCCGGACGTTCCATCTGGGTATAGGGCTCCTTCCGAGAAAAAATCAAATATAGGTAAAATAGAGCTCACTTGCCGTAGTGGAGAGGGCCAGAGCTGTGGAATCAAACATAACTGAATTAAACTTTATTTGCTATGGGACTTGGGGCAAGTTAATTAAATTCTCAATGCCTCTGTGTTTTATCAGTAAAACTAGAATGTTGCTATCTACCCCGCAGGGATATGAGAACTAAATGAAGCAATATATCCAGAGTGTTCTGCACAGAGCCAGGAGCCTCATAAATGTGCACAATAAGGACTCTTTCCTACAGCAGTCAGGGAGATTTCAATTCACCTCACTTGACATCAACTCAAGGAGGGAAGGAGAAGCAGAAGAAGAAACAATGAACGCTTCTTGGGGACATATTACAGATTCAGCCCTCTGTAGGTCTCACGAGAGATAGGAAGGAAGAGTAAGACATTCTTCCTGCCTCCAGGAATCTTACAGTTCTATCGGGCAGACCAGAAAATGTATTGTAAACACATGGGGCAACTGGAGAATAAAACAGGGTGATGTGTTGATTGTCATTTTGGGTCAAAATATATGGTCTACCCTAGAGGGGACCTGCACCATGCAAGAGTGGGCAGGGGCAAGTGGGCAGAGCATCCTCTTACTCCTTGTTTCATAAACTAAGATTGCACAAGATTTTTTAATGAAGGAAAGTCCACTGCTAAAAACTGTGTGAAAACCAGCTGGGTAGAAGGCAGGAAATCAAGTTATGCACATTATAATTATCAGAAGCTTCATAACAGAGATGGGAAGTGAGGTGCCCTGAAGGACTGTGAGGAGTTGGGCTGGTACTGAAAAAAGGCTGGAGGGTGAGGGACAGAGAGGGTGGGATGTGGACACACTCCACATCCATTCACCATTCATTCATTCATTCATTCATTCATGCATTCATTCAACAGCATGAATTGGCTATAGTGTACTAGGCATTAGGAATATAAATTCAAATACGACAGCTAGAGCCAGTGTAGCCAAGGCAAGCCAAAGGTAGGATATAATTTTAAAACTCTAATCTTTTTTTTTTAACAAATTCTACCATGAAAACATAGTTTGATGTTTGTAGAAGGATGCCAGTAGAAAATAGCAGTTAAGCTCCTATGATGTGCAAAGAAGAGTGAGTACTTTGCATATATTATCTCATTCACTCTTGAAAGCAATGCCATATGATAGGTATTAATATCTACTTTTTGATCAAATTAAGGTAACATTGCTAGCATGTAGCTAAGCCAGATTTGAATCTGTTTGTATCTGATTTCCCATCAAAATTTTTGGGCATAGAAGATACAAATTATTTTTTACTTATTTATTAATTTAACTTTCTTTTACATACTAACTTTTAATTAGTTTTCTTCTGAAAAGAATATGAATCATTTGCAAACTAAGCCCATATGCCAAACATAACACTCAAAAGATAAAGTCTGTATACAGAAACCAGGAAATAAAATTAGCTAAATCTCTTTCATATTAAGTGTAGCTCTGAATTTCCAGTTTATATTTATGCTATATTGTTAGAAATAGATTTAATATATATTAGGTCAATATAATTAGGTTATTTTGTTTCTTTGTCCAGTAAAAGGTAATTTACTAGTTCATGAAGAGAGAGGAACTTTTTAATAGTTCTAGATTCTAAGAGAGTATTTTCAAGAGAATTGTTATGTATAAATTACCAAGTAATATAATGAATTATGTCTTTTATGTTTTTAAGAATGGTGTCAAAAAGATGCACAAATATTCTTTTTAGAATAATTTCATACATTGTCTCTCAATACCAGGTGAGAACATAACACTGAATAGTATTTTGACAAAATCATTTTTAATCAAAGTTAAATCAATGAACTACTTTCTAACTTGATCCTGGACTAAAACACAGGAAAAACCCACAAGGTTATCCTCCATCTATTAAATATAAATGACATTTAAAAAATTCCTCCTGTTATCTGACTTCTCAACAGTATTTGACATTATTGTCAGCTTCCTACCTTAAACAATTCTCTTCCCTTGCCTCATGTAACATCACACTGTCCTCTTTGGCCATTCCTTTTCAGCTCACTTTTCCAGTCCATTCTCCTCTATCTGCCATTGCTTGTTTGAAATCCTCACAGTACAAAGCTGGCGGCTTCCTTCTGTGCCCAGTACTCTCTCCCAGGCTGATAGCATCACCCACAATGCCACCAATCAGCCACACGCCAGCGATTCCCACGTTTATCTACAGCCTGGACCTCACCTCTGAGCTTCACACTGAGATCCAGCTGCCTGCTGGACATATCCACTCGTAAACCTCAAGGAGATCTAAATGCAACCTTCCCCAGAGAACTTTAGCTCTCCTCTCCTAAGCCTGGTCCTCAGCCTCTGCCTCTTCTCCCAGTGAGAGACACCAGCAGTATTCAATACCACAAGCCAGATACAAAGAAAGCATTCTTATTCATGCTCTTCCTCTCTCTCCATTTCTAAAGCACACAGGGTCCTGTCCCTGCTTCTTCTCAAATTCATCCATTTATGTCCATCTTCATCACCACAATCCTAGTCCAAACTACCATCATCTCTCACCTGGACTTCTGCAGTAACCTCCTCCCTGCCTTCCCTGAATCTCCCGCCTCTGTAATCCATTTTTCAAGCTATCACAAGAGTGATCTTTTCAAACCTCAAATCTGATTATATTGTTCCCTGCTTGAAATCATTCCATGGCTTCCCGTCAGTGTTGGGATGATGGTCAAATGTGTTTAGCATAGACTACAAGGTCCAGCATGGTCTGGCTCAAACCATCCTAACTTCCCTGGACTGGGTCAGTTTTCTAAAATGCATTCACAAGAGAAAAGGGCAGTAGGGCCAGTGGTTAAGCTCACAGCCACTGAAGTTAGACTGCCTAGAATCAAATACTATCTCCATCACTCGTTAGCTATGTGACTTGGGCAATTTCTTTCTCTTCTGTGAGTCTTAGCTTCTTATCTGCTAGGTGATGATAATTGTAACACCTGCCTTTTAGAGTCATTGAGACTTATATGATATAATAGCTACAAAACACTTATCACAGTGCCTGGTACATAAAACCATTCAATAAACTATTTTATTATTTATTTGTTCATGGCATTTGTCTAAGTTTTTAATACACACACATGTATATATATAATATGCAATTGCTTAATTAATGTCTGTCTCTCATGTTTTAAGTTCTCATGACTATTAAGTTCTATGAAAGCAAGCTTCAGGCTTCATTTTGCTCATAATTGTATCTGTAGGATCTACCTCAGTGCCTGGTATAGTGGGTTCTCGCTACATATACATTGAAAAAAACAATAAATAAGTGGCATTACTTTATAACGCCTTTGTCCAAGGCCCTGTGAATAAAATGCATGGCTTAGAAGCTTCTGAATATATCTATGGAGGAAAGTGAGAGTCAAGAATTAAGGGAGGGTGGGTGAGTAGTGGACTTGAAGCTCTGATTGAGGTCACTCATTTTGTGCTGATTATTTATATGATACAAATTAATACAAATAGCAATTGTTCTAGAGATTCTTATATTTACAATTTGCTTAACGGACTTCATTTTTCATTATTATTATTATTATTATTATTATTATTATTATTGGGAGTTGTTGAAGGCTATCATTGAAACGAGGAGCTAGAATCTCCAAACAAATCCTTTGTACCACCAATCAAGATGAGAAATGTCATTTGGGATCCAAAATAAAGTGTGACTATAAAGTAAGAAGTGATTTGGCAGTAGGTAGCTTACTAAGTTGTTCTGAAAGTCATTCCCAAGGAGTTTATAAAGATTTTGAGCAATGCTAACATTAATAATATTAGTAAAAAACATATTCATTTTGATTACATATGTTCTAGGATGTATGGGCTTTTAAAAATTATACAAATTTTCACCTATCAGATTTGAGAATTTTGAGGGTTGGTAGGGTTGTGGGAGAAAAAAACTGGCTGGTAAACAAATGGTAGAAAAGTAAAATATGCAATTTTTCAAAAGACAACTTGCCAATTACTATCCCCCAAAAAGTATATGAATATAAGCAGCAATTCCACTTGTAATAATTTATTCTAGAAACATAGTTGTAGATGTTTTCCAAATTATGAACTGGAAGCAACTTAAATAATTATTGATACTGAACTGATATATTCATATGATGGAACACTGCACAACTGTTAAAAGGAGGTCTCTCTATATGTACCACTAATAAAAAAAATCTCCAAGACAAAGTAAAAAGTGAAAAACAGAAGGTGTTATAGCATTACCCCTTTGTATAAATGAATAAGAATAAATAAATATGTACATGCCAATCTATGCACAGAAAAATTTCTGAGAAAAAGTTACCAGAAATTTTTGTTTGTTTGTTTTTTCATGTAAGAGAATCTCTTCAAGATGAGCAAAGAAATTGTTAAAGGTGGTTGCCTTTGGGGTGAAATACAAGTGAAAATGCCCTTTACTTTTCTTTGTACTCTTAAGAATTGCTAACCATGTTCATATACTACTATTTCTTTAGTTTTTTATTTTGAACTAATTTTAATGAGTATGTAGAGAATCACATTGTATGTAATTCTCTCCTTCCTTATATTTTTTTATATTTTAAAAAAACAATAAAATTTATTTTTAAAAGAGTTCTAATACTTAAGGATAGTTCACATGTAGATCAAGAAAGCACTAGTTCATTCTCTCATTAAATGAAAGAAGGTAAGAGTTCTAGCACAGGCATTGGCATACAGTAGCTGCTCAATGAATGTCAGTCCCATCCACTTTGTCTAAGTTCATTCTCTACACTTCCCCTAGATGAGCATCTTAGAGGCAGAAACTGTATATTTCCTCATCTTTGCAGCCCTATTATCCAGAAATGTGTCTGGCTCACACCAAACACTAACTTGAATTGAGCAGAGACTTCAAGACTATTAATCTTGCAGCTATAGCTAAGACAAAAACTGATTATAGGAAGTAGAAGTGGTCAGCAAATCCTCTTCTCCAAAAGTAACTACAAAGTTAAACAGAATAGATTAAAAAAAAAAAAAAAAAAACAGCAAACCATTTCAGTTCTCTAGAAATTCAGTAAACCATCCAGCAATGGTTATGCTTGAAAAACTGCTTGAACATCAGCTAAGAAGAGTAGGGATCTATGACAGTCTTGCCTAGGGCTGTTCCTGTCCTATCTTTCCTCTACCCTCAACTTGATTGAAGAGATGGTTTGGCAAAAATGTTCAGGAATAAGGTCTGGCAGTTTTTCTACCAGGGCTGAAGGGCGATCACTTGATTTGAAGTGATGGGCATTGCCTGCCCACTGTAATGTTACCATAGAAACGGTGATTTTCGTGGCTAGAGAGGAGGGAAGAGCAATAATTGGCTGTAGTAGCCTGAAGTTGCAGTGATGGTTAGAGCAAGCTTGTTCCTGGGAAGAGCTGTGTGTAGGTACAGCAGCGATTGAAGACGACTGGAGTTATTCACATGCTCCTGGCTGACTCTGAGGCTGTGTTCAACCAAAAAGGAGAGAAAAGAGGCACAGCAAAAAGTAAAAGGGAAGGCAAACAAAAATGGTCTAAACTTTGAATGTGTTTCCTAATCACCCATAATTCACTGGCAGAAAACAAAAAGACTTACTGGCTCAAGGTGCTTAGGCACCACCTCTGTCCAATCATTTGCTGGCCACTCAGCTAAACAGACATAGGAGTGACCCTTCAGAAATCACCCTTAAAAGTAAAAATAAGAATTGCCAAAAACAAACAACAAACAAACAAAAAGGGCAGAAACCTCCGTGGCCACACATCACAGGGAAGACAGGTTCTACAGATTCAGCCCAGGGAGGTTACTAAGCAAAGAAGCAAACAAACAAACAACAGCAAATAACCAGGGGGGAGGAGGAAATGAGAATACAGAGTTGCTATAATATATTCTCAAAAACATCCAGTTTTTAACAACAACAACAAAATTATGCACAAAGAAATGGTAAACTGTGACCCATGTTTAGGAAAAAAAGCAGTCAGTAGAAACTATCAGTGTCCTCAGATGTTGAATTTAACACATAAAGACTTCAAAGCAGCTATTATAAATACAGCCAAACAACTAAAAGGAATTATATTTAAAGAATTAATTAAAGAATTATATTTAAAGAATATATATTTATAATATAAATAAATATATATATATTTATATTACATTTATATATGTCCTAAAGAAAAGTAGGACAAATGATGCAACAAATAGAAAATCTCAATGAGGAAATAGATATTATGAAAAAGAATTAAATTGGAGTTTTGGCATTGAAAAGTACAATAAATGAAACAAAGCATTTACTAGCATATCACAACAGCAGATTCAAGATGACACAAGAAACTGTCAGTGAACTTGAAGATACATCAGTAGAAATTATCCTGTCTGAGAACGGAGTGGGGGGACATTTAAAAAAAATGAAAAGAACGTAGGAGAACTGTGAGACAACATAGTACTAACATATGTTTAATAGTTGTCCACAGAGAGAGAAGAGAGGAAAAACAGGGATGGAAAAAAATATTTGAAGAAATAATAGCCAAAACTTTTCCAAAAAATTTTTTTAAGAGACAGTGTCTCACTTTGTCACCCAGGATGGAGTGTGGTGGTGCTATTACAGCTCACAGCAACCTCAAACTCTTGGGCTCAAGCCATCCTTTGCCTCAGCTTCCCAAATAGCTGAGACTACAGCTGTATGCCAAGATGCCCAGCTAATTTTTATTTTTTAGAGACGAGGTCTTGCTGTGTTTCCCAGGCTGGTCTCCAATTCCTGGCCTCAAGAAATCCTCCCACCTTGACCTCCCGAAATGCTGGGATTACAGGTGTGAGCCACCATGACTGGCCAAATTTTCCCAATTTGGTGAAAAACATTAATCTACACATCACAGAAGCCTAATGAGACATGCTTTGATAAATACAAAGAGATCTACAAATAGACACATCATCGTTAAACTCCGAGAAGAGGAAGACAGAGACGACATTGAAACCAGAAAGAGAAAAATGACTGATCACCCGTGATTAATGGGCCCCGTAAGGTAAGAATCTGGTTGTTGCTCTGAACTTTAACGTGGCGCCCTAGAGGCTCGCTGACATTGGCACACAGGACGGGTAGTGCTGCTTAACTGCCTGCACAGGCACAGGCTCGGTGATGGACAGTAGAGAAAGCCCTAGAACGGGAGACAGAACAAGTGACGGCCTGAGTCTATCGCAACTCAGCTCCCAACCAGCTGTAAGAACTTTGTCCAGGCAGATTCTCATTTCCTCTCTGGGCTGGTTTTGTTTTGTTTTTTTTTGAGACAAGTTTCATTCTGCCACCCAGGCTGGAACGCAGTGGCATGATCCTAGCTCACCGCAGCCTGGAACTCCCAGGCTCAAGCAAGTGGCTGTGTCGATAGACGTGCACCACCATACCCAGCTAGTTTTTCTTATTTTTTGTAGAGACAAAGTCTCACTATGTTACCCATGCTGGTCTTGAACTTCTGGCCTCAAGCAGTCCTCCCACCTTACCCTCCCAAAGTGCTAGGATTGCAGGTGTGAGTCACTGCATCCAGCCTGGGTCTTCATTTCTTCCTTATACCATGATGCTGGGCTAGATCAGAGAGGCACTCAACAGTGTTCTGAGAGCACTTTGAACCAGGCACTGGGAAGCAGTGCCCAGAAAGACCCAGGTTGGCTTCAGTTCCTGGGAAACCTACAGTCTAATGCAGAGATGGACACACACAGGGGAGCAAACAGAGGAGGTCCCTTTTGCCCTGCCATTTTGATAAGTGCCATGAGATAAAACAACAGCCTCCTGAAATGGGAGAGTCCTACTAAAGACAGGATATAGAGAAGGTTTTCTAGGTCAGCAACATTTAAAGTGTTCTTCATTTAGGGACCTATGAGTGGTTTCAGGAACTCTGATAACCCTTTAAAATCAAGTTCAAAATTTTGTGCACATACGTATTTTTTCTGATGCGAGGGCTCATGGGTCTCACAGACGCTCAGAAAGATCTGTGATGCACCAGTGTTTATAGCAGCACTATTCACAATAGCCAAGAGGTAGAAACAACCCAGGCTTCCATCAACAGATGAATATATAAACAAAATGTGGTATATACATGCAATTGAATATTATGCACCCTTAAAAAGGAATGAAATTCTGATACATGCTACAATATGATGAACACTGAAAACATTATGCTAAGTGAAAGAAGCCAGACACAGAAGGACAAATACTGTATGATTCCACATAATAGGTGCCTAGAGTAGGCAAATGCACAGAGACAGAAAGTAGAACAGAGGTTACCAGGGGCAAGGGGGAGGGAGGAATGGGGAGGTATCATTTAAAGGATACAGAGTTTCTGTTTGAGATGAAAAAGTTCTGGAAATGGGTTAGTGATGATAGTTTTACAATAACGTGTATTTTTTAATTTTTGTTTTTCTTTTTTCTATTTTACAAAGATGGGATCTCACTGTACTCAGGCTGGTGTCGAACCCCAGAGCTCCAGCTATCCTCCTGCCTCGGCCTCCCAGACAGCTAGGATTACAGGCATGAGCCACCGCGCCCGGCCACAATAATGAGAATGTAAGTAACGACACTGAATTGGATACTTGAAAATGGTTGCAATGGTAAATTTTGTTTGTATATTTTACCACGATGTTTAAAGGAAGGATCTGTGGCCCTATAAAGCTTTAGAATCACTGGCTTAGATGATTTTTTAGGATACCATCAGCTTCATGAAAGTATGCTCTCCAGAAACATATGGAACAATAAAGACAAAAATTAAGGACTTAAAGACACCCTGTTTTCTCCATATTTAAAAAGACAGGCACAGCTACCTTGGCACATCTTTTACTTTCTACCTGCAGCATAGAAATACTTTTGTGAAACTCTATTAAAGACAATGCATTCGTGATTATGCCTTACATTTACAAAGCTTCTCCTTAAAGTTTACCTGGCACAATTTTATGTGCTCATCCTCAACAACTAATAACTAGCAAATCTTTGCTGCACTCCAGGTGGAGGGAGGACAGGCCGAGGACAGAGGGCACTCGCGGTCTTGTGTTCATCAACAAAGTTGTCTCCTCTGGCTGCTTACTCCCACACCTGACTGGAGCAACTGCCCAGCAAGTCTGGCTGCCTTGAGACACTCATTAATGCCCGGAAGCTCCTCCTTGATGATAAGGTGGGCTGATGAGAGTTAATGGTACTGTGCCTGACAGCTTTCCCAGAGGCGATGGCCTCGCAGGTGCACCATTCTACCTGGCCATGAGCAAGAATGCAACGAAGGATGAGAAAAGTACTCCTGACATCAGAGAAATACTTCTATCGCAAAAGTCTAAGAATGTTGCTTAACATTTTTTTTTTCATTAAGGAGGAATCCAGAATCTTCCCTATTGAAACTCCTCGAGTACACACAAGGAGACAGGGCTGCTGCACGGGGGAAGCCCCCAAGCCAGAGCCTGAAGCTGGGTGGAGGGGATCAACTTCTACTGAGATGACCCTGCCCATGGCCAAGGCTGCTACTGGTGACAGGAGCACGCTGCTTTGTATCCGATGTGCTGCGCAGGCACGACTGAGTGACAAGGAAGAAAGCCAGTGTGGTTCTGGGGCACAGTGGATGGAGCACACGCCAAGGAGCCCCACACCCAGTTCTGTGTCGACATAAAGAAGAGCAAGAAAGAAGAGAGGAAGGAAATAAGGGAAAGAAACAGGAAGAAGAGGAAAAGAGGGGGGAGCAGTAGATGGACACGGCGAGAAGGGGACAGGAAGAAGAAGATATGAGCACGTGTAACCATTGTGCTCTTAGAATCCCAGTCACTATAACTGACAGCTAGCTTATGAAATAGAGACAAGATCCCAATAATGCAGGATTGACATTTACCTTCTGAATCTTTGTTGTAGAAAACGCCGTGTGGGTGCAAAGAATAAGGTCGAGATCCAAAGTTCTTTAAGTGAATGACAATCACATCACCCACTTCAGCCCGCAAGATGGGACCCAGGAATCCAAGCCAGGAAGGTTTGGGGATCTCCGTGGAATAGGTCTCATCTGTGAAGTGTCGGTAAACAGCCTTTTTGTAAATGCCGCCTATCCTGTTGGGCCCTCTTTCGAGAAATAAGGTGGCAAGTCTGAAAGTAAGAAGAAAAATATTTTATCATTGAAATTAAAAGAGAAACCATAATAACTTACCTTTAGGAGTTCATAAAGTGCTTGCATGTGTGATTTCTCATTTGGTGTCACCATAACCCGTAACCTCTGTAAGGTTATCCTCAACTTACCAATGAGGAAATGATGCTTAGGGAGTTTAGTGACAAGCCAAAAGCCACAAGTATCATTAACACCCAAACTAAAGCAAAACCCAAGAACTCTAAATACACGCTACCCACTCACTCCCTTTCACTCAATGAACACTTATTGTGCACTTAATATATTCCCAGCACTTGGGTAGGAGAGATACAAAAGAGACTGTAACCTAACAATGGGGAAAGTAGGTACCTATACAAAGGATTACATGATTAAGCATCAATTGAATGATTAATACAACAGATGTAGGCTCAGCTTTTCTAGGAACACAGCAGTTCAGAGAAGGAAAAGATGGCCGTGGGTAGAAGAGATCAGAAAACTCCTCATGACAAATGCAAGACTTACGGCAAAGCGGGATTAGATAACGAAAGGGGAAAGTGAGGACACTACGCAGGACAGAGCACGAGCCACAAGGAAGAAGCAGCGCAGGCCGAAGGGCTGGCACTGGTCTGAGAAGATAGGGAGCGAGAAATAAGGATGCGTGTGAATTCTGGGGATAGATCAGCAATACACTTTAATTTTAGGTTGAAGAATTTAGAATTTATCTTGGAAGCACTGAGGACGCACTGAGGTTAAGTGCCCATTAAGTGGGTGACATGACGATCAGTGTCTAAGGACCATTCTTGTGGCAGTGATGTGCAGGTTTTAGAGGAGTCGGGCAAAGGGGAGAGCAAAGATGAGGACGGAGAGACTGTTAGGAGACCAGAAGGGGGTGGTGCAATAGAAAACTGGGTGTGGAAAAAACAGAATTCTAAGACTTGATGTGACTTGATGACACCTCCTGGGGCTCCAGGGTGAAGGGCAGATTCAGTCCCTTGGGGTCAGGGAGCCTGAGACAATAGCAGGACTGATGACTCACTTCAGAGTGGCCAGACCATCTTTTTTCTCCTGGGGAGCTGAATTCCCCTCCCCTACTCTCAGTCTCTGTGACTAGCTCATGGCTCCAACTCTAGCTCCAACCCCAGAAGTGCTGGCTTCGGCTTGAGCAAAAGCTCCACTACTCCTAGGTGCAGCCATCCCAGTATGTGGCCCCTCACCCCCAGAGAGGACACCACTCTGGATGGGGACCAATGGGAAGGCCCTGCTGCCCTTGTAGTGGGGTCCAGCTGCCCCCCTCAGCACACATGTCCCCTATAAGCACTCTCCCAGAAGGTCCCGCATGCCTCTGCTCTGTTCCAGTCCCGGGTGAGCTTCAAAACCATTCTGCTGACTTCCAACAAGTGCACAGTGAGGACTTATAGCATGCAACGTGCCGGGCTAGCTGTTGTTTGGAACACAAAAATGAACAAGCTACAGCCCCTGAATCAGTATGTTTATCAAGAAGGGACAGAGACATTGATACCTGCACAAAAGAGATGGCTAAGAATTGCAAGGACAGAGCTCTGGGAATCTAAGAGAGCAGGAGAGAGGATGGGGACTCTAAGTGAGAGGAACACTGAGAGCAGGGAGTCAAGGTGAGGGACTTACAGACAATCACAAGCAGCTGTTTTGGGCTCGATAGGAGTGAAATTGTGGAGGAATTTCAGTGCTGCATTAAGGTTCTTAGATATAATGATATTTGCAATTAAGAGCCACTAAAGATTTTTGAGCAGAGAAATATGATCAGATCTGTGATTCAGGAAGACAGTTTTGGCAAGATCCCCTGTCTGACTCCTCTTCATCATAAGCTGCCCACGTGACTTTCCCATCCGCCTCTGCTCACCAGGTCGACCCTTTTCCAAAACTTCCACCTCTGAACACTGAGTCATATGCCTGCATGGCTGCCCCAGGCTCGGTTTAACTTCATGCCTGATTTGGGGGGGCGGGTGTTGGTCCTGGGTATCTGATCCAGCTGAGTGTCCCCCTCCCGGGGACCCAGACGTGGCATCTGCTTGCCTGGTCCGGTCTGGGTCTTTCTTTCGCCAACTTGGGAGGTTTCACAATCTCTCTTTACTTCGATGTCTTCTTCCCATTCCTCTTCCCTCTTCCTGGGTCCCATCCAAGCAGAGACACTTCTTTGTTGACAGATCCACACCAGGTCTGACAGCCTCTGTATTAACTGATGAATTTCCGTGAGCTTCCACACAGGTGTCCGCTGTGCATGTGGGCTGGAGCATGCCTGGCACATAGCTGCTCCTCTTGCTCCACATGGATGGCCTGGCGACACGGCTCTCTGGGGTCTTTGCGTGTGGCCCTCCCAACTCATAACATCCCACTACTGGCAGGACATACACGGAGCTGTTTTCTCGTAGTAGCAATGGTTAGGGAATAATCCACCAGTATTTACTTACTAGGTAGATTGTAACCAAAATTCCTAAGGCATTTATCCAGTGATATCTGGGCCCAGAGGACAGTTGTGACCACGGGGAAACACCCAGTGCACATCTCTCAGAAATCCAACACGTGACCTCAGTTTGGGGGCCTGCCTTCCAAAGACTGTTCCCTTTCTCCCAAGGACCTGCTGGCGAATAAGATTTATGGCCACCTTGCCTTTTTCTCATTTACAACCCGAAGCTTACAGCACAGCAAAACTAAGAAGAAAAGAATTTAAAGAGAGCATAGTAAGGTTTTAAAGTCAAGCTATGGGACTCCAAATGGTTAATTAAAAAATGATTTTAAAAAATAAAGTCAAGCTAAAAAGTGATTATTATTCTCTCTCTCTCTCTGGCCAGCGGAGGCACCTGGCCTGCCCCAGACCACTCATATGACCATAAGCCAGGTCAAACCTGCCAGCAACAAAGCCCCTTTTATGAAGCTGGCCTTGGCCTCAGAGGTGGGAGATGCCCCAGGGGCCTCGGCTGAGCCAGACCAAGGAGTGGAGCAGCTGGGCCGCAGCTCTGAAGGGCACTGGAACATCACCAGAGAGCAGGAAGCATCCCGGGGGGATGCAATTCACTGGAAATGACATAGAAGGTAGAGAAAACTGCAAAGTCCAGGACTTATCTGGGGTGAGTATCGTATGTGGTTGGACAGAAGGCTTTGATTGGCTGTTCCAGATGAGGTTTGGGAGGCAGGTGGGGGAGACCCCAAGGGTTATGCTCAAGTAATAACAGCTGGTCACTAAAATCTATTCCATGGAGGATTGGTCCACTGAACTATAGGGTGGGCTCCTTTTTGCTTGCAGCCAAAGGATTGGTAAGAACTGCCACCAACAGGCCACCTTTTCCTCTCTGCTCAGCACTCGACGTCTCCTCGAATTGAAGGAGCTCCATGTCATTCACCTGCCCAGAGCAACCAGACTATTAACTGCCTAGGGCACCTTCGAGCGTCACCCTGCTCTACCCTTGATGTGGAGTCACTGCTGGGTGTAGGATGCAGAGTCCCTGGGACAAAGAGGAAGCCATGGGTTCAGGCCCCACACGGAGGAGCCAGAGAAAAGCCAGGAACCCGAGGGCCAGACCTTCCAGAGGTAGCAGCTCCCATCCCCCCACACCCCACCGGCTACCATGGTCAGCTTCCAGTCAGGATAATAGGCCTAAGACAGGAATCCCGTTAAAATGTTTGGAGAAGGATTTTGATAGCAAAAACCTGGAAAGACTGGAAGGTTCTTCCACTGGGGATTCAGTAAATGAATGATTGCACAATCACGCCACATAGCCATAAAAAAAAATAATAAGGTAGTTCTCCAGGTGCTCATATGGCATGAGTACCAACATAGGAATGGAAAAAGCAAATTGCAGAACAGCAGGTAAAGTATGATCCCATTTGGTTTTTTAAACAGTATACATGTGCGTACCTGCAGAGAAAACATCTGGAAAATGGCCAGGCAAACCATCAATTGTAGCCTCTGGGCCACAGGACTGAGGCCACAGATGGGAGTGAGGAGGGATGAGAAGTTTGCTTTCATTCATCCTTTTTTATACTGCGAGGGTGTTTACTCTGTGCCTGTGTATTCAATTCAAAGTAAAAACAAGCCCACATTTCACTTAGAAAAGATAGTCCAGGAAGCAGAAATCACTGGATGGTGCTTCTCCAGATGGAGCTGGCAGAAACTCTCTTTGTCCTCTGCTCTTCCCCTTATTCATGCCTGAAATGAAGACATGATGATTGGAGCTCCAGCAGCCATGTTGAGACAATGAGGAAAAGGAGCACATCCTAGGGATGGTCGAGTGAAAGCCAAAAGGAACCTGGGACCTGATTTCAGACCTCTGCATCTCTTTTGTGTAAACTACAATAATAATAAATCTCTAATATATTTAAGTCACTGTTTTTCAAGCTTCTGTTAACTAGCAGTTGAATACCACTCCCGACTGAATAGGCTGTTCAAAAGGAGGAGGAGGAGGAGGACTAGGAGGAAAAGGCAGAGGAGGAACTGAGTCATCCACAATCTGGCTAATCAGCTCCAGAATGGGCAGAGTTGCTTCATGTTATGGCTGACACTGGGTGGCCCGGTAAGGTAGCAGCAGAGCAAGGGCTATATTCCAAGTCCCTGGTGAGCACTCTGGGCTTGGTCTGATAAGAAAAAGCTGTAATAAGGTTATTTACAGGGCCTGCCATTCCAACAGGCTCTGCAGGGAAGGACATTTGACTCTCTATTCTTCTCTCCCCTGTTCTCCTAGCACACGTGTAGACACACACACGTATACACACGTGCACACGCATTCTGAACACACATGCTCACACACACACTGCTGCTGTTAATCTGCTAAAGGGTCCTGATTCCACCCCGCCCAAGACCTTTCTCCATCACCTCCAGGAGACCAGGTCTTGCCACGCGTTGTCTGGCAAAGCCACCCAAACAAGAGGCAAGATGGAGCAGCAGAGGATGGGAAGCGTTGGCTCACTCCCCCCAGCACTTAGGACATTTGCAGCATATTTTGGCACTGAGTTATATATTGACTTGTTT